AACAATAACACTGATATTCCTCCTCATAAGCTCAAGATGGTGGGACTTGGTATATGAAATAAGAATAAGGGTGTGCGGCCCCTTTAAGAAGTCAGTCTCACTGCGTCCTCCACTCTGCAACCAGAATCACAGGACATAGAGACCCCTCATAGTGCAGGAGATCTTAAAAAACGCTTTATAAAAAAGTAAAAATTGCACCTACAGGAATAAAGAAATGAGTGCACATCAAGATGACAGCGGGGGGGCCGCAGCTCCCCACATCACTTCCGGTATTGCCTGTCTATCTCCTGAGGAAGTCCCAGCCCATGTAATTTTCAGTGGAAGCCATTCAAATCTATGTGACTATAAAAAGGTTCCTTCACTACTTTGATGCGACTTTCATGCAATTTGACAGCAATGTAAACCTCAAAAGTCGCGTCTTAAAATGATACTAAAGTTTTGTTTTTGTTTTTTTTTTTGTTTTTTTTTAAAATAACAAACATGTCATACTTACCTGCTTTATACAGTGGTTTTTCACAGAGCTTGCCGGATCCTCCTCTTCTTGGGTCCCCCGACGGCTTTTTGGCCCCTCCTTTCTGTTGGATACCCCCACAGCAAGCAGCTTGCTATGGGGGACACCTGAGCAGGCATGCTCCCAAGCCACAGCTCTGCGTGTCCGTTTACACACACAGCCATCCCACATGGAAGTAAGATATATTTGAAAAAAAATATTCTTCCCAAATATATTGACATGTATTTGAAATACTACAATTGTGGTCGTATTCTATATATTAAAAAAAAAAAAAAAAACAAACCACACACACACACACACACACACACACACACACACACACACACTTGAAATGCGTTTCATATATATTACAAAATGTATGATAAATTTTTTTTAAATATATCCTTCAGATTTTTTTTTTATATAAAGTCATTTTTAACATATATTTGTAAATGCATTCCAAAAATGTAGATTAAATGTATTTTTAAAATATGTTTTAGGTATTTTGTAATAAAAACGCATTTCAACATACAGTGTGTGGGTGTGGGTGTATATATGAATGTATATGTGTGTGTATTATGTAGTATATATGTGTGTGTGTGTATATATATATATATAAAATATATATATATATATTCATATATATATATATAAATATATATATATATGTGTGTGTGTGTATATTATATATATATATATGTGTGTGTGTGTGTGTGTGTGTATATATATTATATATATATATGTGTGTTATTGTGTGTGTATTATATATATATATATATATATGTGTGTTGTGTATATATATTATATGTGGTGTGTGTGTGTGTGTGGTGTGTTGTGATATATATATATATATATGTGGGGTGTGTGTGTGTGTGTGTGTGTGTATATATATATCCCTTATAATATATATATCCCCTATATATATATATATATTGTGTTGTTTGTATATATATATTTATAGTATTTATATTAAAATATATTTTGAAATATATTGAATACGGCCAAAATTGTAGTTTTTCAACTATATGTTCAATATATTTGGTTAAGAGTTATTTTTAAAAATATATTAAAAATATATTTTTCTTCCATGTGGGATGGTTCAGTCCACACCCTCTCTCTCCTGATTGGCTTACTGAGGCTTGTGATTGACAGCAACGAGTGCTATTGGCCTCAGCCATATCAGGAATGAGAGTCCCCGTAGAGCATTTTGGGGGGGGGGCTGCTACACAGCTTTTTTTTTTTTTTTTTTTGTTTTTTTTTACGTTCATGCATAGAATGACCTGGAGACATTGGAACTACTTTAATGTTTATTTGCAACAGTAGTGGAACAGTTCAAAGCCAAAGTCACATCCAAGTCACACCCATCCAATGGTAATTTTTTACTTCGACTTGGAGTTCACAAATATGAACGGAGCCTTAAGGGTTATAAACTGCCACAATAAGGGGGGGGGGGGGGGGTTATATACTTGTGGCTTTCACTAATGAGCAGAGAAGGGGAACTTTGAAAATGTTGTTTTTTAAGAGATTAAGACCTACATATCCAACCACAAATTCTCTGTGGTTACCCCAATATTTATCATCTTAGATAAAGTCCCAAAATGTAACACCAAAAAAATAAAAAGGGCTACAAGGTTTCATTCAGGTGTAGGGTCTCCATAGGTATCTAATAAGCTCTTTTCTCCCGTTCTCTCTCTCTCTTTCTCTTTCTCTTTCTTTCTTTCTTTCCTTTCTTTTCTTTACTTCTTCTCATCCCTTTCTTTCTCTTTCTTTTTTTCTACCTTCTTCCTCATCCTTTCTTTCTGTCATTCCCTCTCCTCTCTTCTCTCTCCTCTTTTCCTCCTCCTCCTATTCTCTTTCTTTCTTTTCCCCTCCCCCTTTCTTTCGCCCCTCCTCTCCTTCTCCCTTTCACCCTCTTTCTTCTCCACTCCTCTTCGCCTCTTTCATCCTTTCTTTCCTCCCCTCTCTTCTCTCTTCTTCTCCATTCTTCCCTCCCTCTCTCTCCCTCCCCCTTTCCTTCCCCCTTCTCCCTTCTCCCCTTCCTTCCTCCCTCTTTCTCCTCCTCTTTCTCCCCTGCTCTTCACTTTCTTTCTCTTTTCCTCCCCTCTCCTTTTCCCCCTCCCAGCCTGATTTCTTTCCCCTTCTTTTTCACCCCCTTCATTCTTTCTTTCTTCCCCCTCCTTCTTTCTTAATTGGTCGCCTCGGGATCGCCCTTTTCCCTCTTTCTTCTTACCCTCCCTTCTTCTTCCTTTTTCTTTTCTTCTTCTCATTCTTTCTCTTTCTCTTTCATTCTTCCTTTCTCTTTTCCTCTCCCCCCACTTCTCTCTCTTTCGGTCAACTCTTTTCCTTCTCCTTTTCTTCTCCCTCTTTCTTCTCTTTTCTTTCTTTTTCCTCTTTCCCTCGCCCCTTTTCTTCCCTTTTTCCCCCTTCTCTTCCTCCCTCCTCTTTCCCTCTTTTTCACCTTTTCCGTCCCTTTTCTTCTCTCTCCTTTTTCTCCCATTCTCTCTCCTTCTTCCTTTCTTTCTTCCCTTTCTTCTTCTTTCTCCCTCTCTCTTCCTTCCCCCCCCTTCCTCTCTCCTTCCCCCTTCTCTCTCCCTTCCTCGTCTCTCTCTCTTCCTTTCCTCTCCTTCCCCTCCTCTCATCTCTTCTCTCCCTTTTCTCGTTTCTCTTTTTCCCCTCCTCCTCCTCTTCTCCCCCCTTTCTTCTCTCTTCCTCTCTCCTCTCTTCCCTCTCTTCCTTTTCTTCTCTCTCTTCTTTCCTCTCTCCTCCTCTTTTCCTTCCTTTTTCCCTTTTCTCTTTCTCTCTCCCCCTCTCCCTCTCTCATTCCCTTTCCTCCTTTCCCCTCTTTCTTCCTTCTTCCCTCCTCCCCCCTTCTCTTTTCCCCCTCCCTTCCCTCTCCCTCCTCCTCTCCTTCCCCTCTCTCCCTCTTCCCCCTTTCCTCCCCCCCTCTCTTCTCTCTCCTCTTTCTTTCTTCTCTTCTTTCTCCCTTCTTTCTCTTCACTCCCCCTCCACTTCTTTTCCCTCCTCCTCCTCTTTCCTTCTCTTTTTTCCTTTTTACCTCCCCTTCCCTCTTTCTTTTCTTTCTCCCCTTCCCCCCTTCTCTTCTTCCTTCTCCCCCTCCTCCTTCCTCTCTCTCTTTCTTTCTCCTTTCCCTCCTCTCCCCTTTTCCTCTCCCCTCCTCCCCTTCTCCTTTTTTCCCAATTCCCCCCCCCTTTCCACCTTCCCCCCTCCCCTCCCTCCCCCACTCTCTCTCCCTCTCCCCCCCTCCCCGTCCCTCTTCCTCCACTCTCCCCTTTTCGCCTCCCTTCTTCCCCCCACCCTCCCCCTCCCCCCTCTTCTCGTCCTCTCAACACCCTTCCCCTCTCTTCACCTCTCCACTCTCGTCCTCCCCTCTCCCCTCTCTCTCCCCCTCCTCTTTCCTCCCTTTCTGTCCTCTTCTTCTCTCTCATTTCCTCTCCCTCCTCTCCCCCCCCCCTTCCCCCTTTTAGCTCTTCTTCCTTCCTCTCCCCCTCTCTCTCCCTCCTCCTCTCCCTCCTCCTTTTCTTCCTCCCTCTCCCCCCTCCCTTCCTCCCCCTCCTCTTCCCCTCTTCCCCCTTCCCCCCCCTTTCTGCCCCTCCCTCCCCCCCCCTCCCCCTCCCTCCTCCCCCCCTCCCCTTCCCTCTTCTTCCTCTTTCTCCCCTCCCCCTCCCTCCCCTCCCTCCTCCCTCCTTCCCCCCTTTTCCCCCCCCCCTCTCCCCCCCTCCCCTCCTCCCTCCCTCCCCCTTCCTTCCCCCCCCCTCCCCCCCTCCTTCCCTCCCCCCCCCCTTTCTTCCTTTCCCTCCCTCCCCCCTTCCTCCTCCCCCCCCTCCCCCCCTTTCCCCCCCCCTTCTCCCTACTCCTCCCTACCTCCCCTCTCCCCCCCCTCTCTCCCCTCTCCTCCTCCCCCTCTCTCCCTCCCCCCCCCCTCCCCCCCTCCCTCCCTCCTCCCCCCCCCCCCCTTCCTCCTCCCTTCCTCCCTCCTCCCCTCCCTCCTCCCCCCCTTTCTCCTCCCCTCCCCTTCCCTCCCCCCTCCTCTCCCTCCCCCCTCCCCCCTCCCCCCTCTCCCCTCCTTCTTCTCAATCCCTCCCTCCTTCCCTCCCCCTCCCTCCCTCTCTCCCTCCCCTCTCCTCATTCCCTCCTCCCCCTTCCCCTCCCCCTCGTCCCCTCCTCCCCCCCTCTCCCTCCCTCCCTTCTCCCTCCCCCTCTCCCATCGCCCCCCCCCTCGTCTTCTCTCTCCCTCCCCCTCTCCTCCCTCTCCTCCCCCCCCTCCCTCCCTTTTTTTCCCTCTCCCTCCCTCCTCTCCTCCCTCCCTCCCTTCCCCCCTCTCCCCTCCCTTCCTCCTCCCTCTCCCTCCTCCCCCCCCCCTCTCCCCCTCCCCTCCTCCCCCCCCCCCCTCCCCCCTCCCCCCTCCCCCCTCCCCCCCTCCCCCTTCCCCTCCCTCCCCCCCTCTCCCCCCTTCTCCCCCCTCCCTCCCTCCTCCTCTCTCCCTCTTCCTTCCCCTCCCTCCCCCTCTTCCCCTCCCCTCCCTCCCCCTTCCCCCCCCTCCCCTCCTCCCCCTCTCCCCTCCTTAATCCCTCCCCTCCCCTCCCTCCCTATCTCTTCCCCCTTCCTCCCCATCCTCTCCCCCCCCCTCTCTTCCCCTCCCTCCTCCCTCCCCCTCTCCCCCCCTCCCTCCTCCCCTCCCCCCCCCCTTCCCTCTCCTGCCGCCCCCCTCCTTCTCCCCCCCTCCCCCCCTCTCCCTCCCTCCTCTCACCTCTCTTCCCCTCTCTCCCTCTCCTCCCCCCTCCTCATTCCTCTTTTTCTCCTACTTCCCCCTTCTCTCCTCTCCTCCCTCCACCATATCCTCTCCCCCCCTCCTCCATCCTCTCCCCCCTCTCTCTCCCCCTCTCTCCCCCCCTTCCTCTTCCCCCCCCCCTCCCCCCCCCCTCCCTCCCCCCTCCCCCCTCCCCCCCCCCCCCCCCTCCCCTCTCCTCCCTCCCCTCCCCCCCTCCCCCTCCCTCTTCTCTCCCCTCCCCTCTCTCCCTCTCCTCTCTCTCTCCTCCCTCCCCTCCCTCTCTCCACCTCCCCCCCCCTCCTCCCCTCTCCTCCTCTCTCCTCTCTCTCTCCTCTCTCTCTCATCATATTCTGAGACTGGACAACAAAATAAATCAGTAATAATGTAATTTATTATTTATGGGAGCGTGGTGAACATTTAAAATAAACTGGTTATGTTTTTCTTGCGGGTCCCTTTTTTTCCTGAAATTAAAAAATGGTCTTTAACCACATCCAGAAGGTTTTACCCTGTTCATGACCAGGACATTTTTTTTGCTACTGCGTTACTTTAACTGGCTTAGTTATGCAACACTGTACCCAAATTAAAGTTTTAGCATTTTTTTAACAAAAATAGAGATTTCTTTTGGTGGTATTTGATCACCTCTGGGTTTTTTCTGTTTTTATTGTATAAATGAAAAAAAAGAACAAAAATTTTGAAAAAAAAAACTATTTTTTTCTACTTTGTTATAAAATCATATGCAATAAAAAAGCCAATTTCTTAATAAATGTAGGCCAAAATGTATTCTGCTACATGTCCTTGGTAAACATAGGTGTGATGGTCAGGTGTTTACGGTGTCTGCAGGTGATTTTGGGGGTTTCTGTCTCCATCCTGCCTCTTCAGTGATAGCTGACTGTGTTCTCTCTGCAGAGATGACGAAATCCTTGATAAATGTGGTGCAGATGCTGTCCATTACCTGTCCTTCCAGCGCCACATCATTGGTCTGTTGGTGGTAGTCGGCGTGCTGTCTGTTGGCATTGTGCTCCCGGTCAACTTCTCAGGAGACCTGCTGGGTGAGATAGAAGCCTGTTCATTGTTATGGTTTCTGCATAAAGAGACACTGACATTGCACCATTGTAATGAGGCAGCAAACTGGCACGGGTGGTGTGTGCTATAGTAACAAAGCAGATCAACCTGTTTCAAAGCAGAAGAGCTGGAGCTGCTTTCTGGGGAGTCGGGCAAGCAGTTCCTGTTCTCCTGCTCCCTATGTTTTTTTTAAAGTTGAATTCTAGGCATTCAAACACTTTGTAAAAAGTGAGGGCACACTGTAAATTAAAGTGTTACTAAACCCCGGACCCTGCATTCACTATATCCTGCATTCACTATATTCCGGTCTCCCCAGACCCCGCATTCACTATATCCGTCTCCCCAGACCCCGCATTCACTATATCCGGTCTCCCCAGACCCTGCATTCACTATATCCGGTCTCCCCGGACCCTGCATTCACTATATCCGCTCTCCCCGGACCCTGCATTCACTATATCCGGTCTCCCCGGACCCTGCATTCACTATATCCGCTCTCCCGGACCCTGCATTCACTATATCCGCTCTCCCCGGACCCTGCATTCACTATATCCGGTCTCCCCGGACCCTGCATTCACTATATCCGGTCTCCCGGACCCTGCATTCACTATATCCGCTCTCCCCGGACCCTGCATTCACTATATCCGCTCTCCCCGGACCCTGCATTCACTATATCCGCTCTCCCCGGACCCTGCATTCACTATATCCGCTCTCTCCCCGGACCCTGCATTCACTATATCCGCTCTCCCCGGACCCTGCATTCACTATATCCGCTCTCCCCGGACCCTGCATTCACTATATCCGCTCTCCCCGGACCCTGCATTCACTATATCCGCTCTCCCCGGACCCTGCATTCACTATATCCGCTCTCCCCGGACCCTGCATTCACTATATCCGCTCTCCCCCGGACCCTGCATTCACTATATCCGCTCTCCCCGGACCCTGCATTCACTATATCCGCTCTCCCCGGACCCTGCATTCACTATATCCGCTCTCCCCGGACCCTGCATTCACTATATCCGCTCTCCCCGGACCCTGCATTCACTATATCCGCTCTCCCCGGACCCTGCATTCACTATATCCGCTCTCCCCGGACCCTGCATTCACTATATCCGCTCTCCCCGGACCCTGCATTCACTATATCCGCTCTCCCCGGACCCTGCATTCACTATATCCGCTCTCCCCGGACCCTGCATTCACTATATCCGCTCTCCCCGGACCCTGCATTCACTATATCCGCTCTCCCCGGACCCTGCATTCACTATATCCGCTCTATATCCCGCTCTCCTCCTACCCTGCATTCACTATATCCGCTCTCCTCCTACCCTGCATTCACTATATCCGCTCTCCTCCTACCCTGCATTCACTATTTCCAGTCTCCCACAGTACATAGAACATGGAAATGCAATAATTTTAGTAAGTAGTAACCGTAGTCTAAAAAAAGAGGGGGGTGTGGGCCATCTTCTGTCTCTTCCCCAGCATAAAGACAGCGGATGAATAATACAATGGCTTCTCATTGGGTGATGCCAAGTGTGCGATCAGGAATCCCACTGTTACAGTATACCATACTCTTTGCGGAGCAGTACGCCTCCATTGACCGAAAAAGTGAAACAAAGTGATCAGGACACAAGGTCCTTGTAGTCATCTGAAGCTATAAAATGTAGCCAGCAAGCCCACGTTTTGGTGAAGGCCGCGATCCTGTCCTGAGATGCAAAAATTATCTCCTCCATATTCTTCAATCGTTCCAAGCGGGCAAGTCACTCCTGTACACTGGGTAGCTTAGTGTCTCTCCAATATAAAGGGGTACACAAGCGTGCCACATTGATCATCGTGTAATTGTAGAGATCTTTTTTTGCCTTACATTGCTTGGTATAGTGTAGTAGATACTGTGCCGGGGGGACATCCATGGCAGTCCCTGTCACTTGCAAAATAATGTCACGGACCTTGGTTCAAAACTCGGCAATGAGGGAGCAGTCCCACCAGACGTGGAAGAACATGCCTTCCACCATCAGACATCGCCAGCATCAATCCGAAGTCGCTGGATAGATCTTATGTAGTAGAGATGGAACTCAAGACCATCTGGATCTGATCTTGTAAGAGTTCTCCTGAGTGTGAACATTCAGGGACCATTTGTGAGCAAGTTAATTTGCTTCCAATCTTCCTCATCGAGCCGAATATCCAAGCCCTTTTCCCATTCAGTGCCAGTCATCCCTGAGTTAGAGGGCAGAGCAGAAAAAAACAGAATATCGGTCAGAAACCAAATGCCTTTGGGGCTCGAATCTCACACAGATCACTTCAAAAGGCATCCGGTCTCTACAGTACATCTGCCTAAATTCGGCGTTGGAAAGAAAATGTCTAATTTGCAAATATGTCCAGAATGGAACATTTGACTGTGGGACCAAGTTTGGTAATGAATCTCGTGCAATGAGCTGTCCTCTGTGAAAGAACTGGTAGGCCTGTGAATTAGCATGTGGCCATGTATCTCAGAGGAAGGAGCTACTCATACCCGGAGCAAAGTCCTTATTAAATCTTAGTGGGGACAAAGGTCCAGGGACTGATGAGAGCTGGAACGCCTTACACACAAACCTAAAATTCCTTAAAGTGGCTGAGATCAGCGGATGGTATACATCTTTAGCAGGGGAGACCCATGGTACCCCCATCATGGGTTTATCCAAGAAGGCTTGTTCTAAATGTGCCCAGTCCTTGTGGGCTACATTCTTAACCCAATCTACGTCTCTAGTCAATGTCCTGCATAGTAATTTATTTGACAGTCAGGTACACCGATTCCACCCTTAGACTGTGGCCTAGACAGAAAAGATAGGCTTATTCACGCAGGTTTGCCATTCCAAAGAAAGTTCCGGAACATACGTCGGAGAGATTGAAAAAAAAGCTTTCGGTAGACATACGTGGACTGCCTGCATCACGTAGAGGAAACGTGGGAGAATATTCATCTGTAGTGCAGCTGCGCGACCAAACCAAGTTAGTGATTTCAAGTTCCAAGCCATCAAGTCCTCTTGGATGCGAGTGAGGAGAGGTGCAAAACTTCAAGAAAAAAGTTGGGTAACATCTGCTGGAAGAACTGTACCAAGTTAAGTAATCGCGTCGTCTGTCCATATACAGGGAGAATTTCTTTTGCACATTTTCACCTCCGCAGGGCTGAGGCCTAGGTCAAGAATTGATGACTTGCCATAGTTTATGCGGAGTTTAGAGAGAAAGGAAACATTTTTTTTTTTTTTTTTTTTACAAGAAACATTTTCTAAGTCCAAGAGATTGGGAAGAGAAATGTGTGGCTCCGTTAGAAACAATAACATGTCATCCGCATAAGCGGCCAGTTTATACTCCCTATTAGCAATATGGAAACCTTTGATATCGGGATGTGCCTGTCTAAGGCGGAGAAAAGGTTCCAATGTCAAGATGTAGCTCAATGGACAACCCTGTCTAGTGCCGTTTTATATACCAACAATTCTTCTGATAGCAAGTCATTCGCTTTAACCGGAGCCATAGGGTTCGAATATAAAGCTAGGACATATACAGACTGATTTTACTGTTGTAGGTTTAGTAACACTTTAAGTCCAAGAAGTTGCATCACATCTCCTTATCTTTCCTGTATTTACATCTGACAGGTTTATTGCTCTCCCGGGAAGATGAGTTCACATAATACATGAGTAATTATAGTGAGTTCACATAATACAAAGGCTTCTGTGAATGGGCAGGAGGGGAGGTACGGGCATAGCACCTGCAGCGACTCTCCTGTTCAAGTTTCAGAGCTCAGAAGGATCAGCGTTGCCCTCCCAGAACTGCAGAGGTAGCTGTCTTCTGGGTGTAATATAAAGCTCTCAGATATAAACAATATAGCTAAACTCAAGAAGTGTCATGCACCTCACTGGACTTAACTCATTGTGTGCTTTAGTTTTTTTACAAAAGAGCTGAATTCCTGTAATTCAGCTTTAATTAGGTCAAGATCTGATCCATTTTCTCCGTTTTAGAAGAGTGGCACAGGCTGTATGCCTCCACCACTCTTTGTTAATTCCCCCATTGTGGTTACTGGATAGAGGGAGGGGAACCACATCTACAGCCACTGTTAGTAACTACAGCCCCTCATATTTGGCAGTTGAGGGTCATGCAGTCCAGATTTTCAGTGAAGGCTGGTTCCCCTCTCTTGCTGCCAGTGTGCCACATCACAACAGACTGGAAGATCAGCCAGCGCCTATGACATTTCTTGAATCTACAGAGCTGTGAAGCTCCACCCTTTTCCCAGCTATGCCCCTCCCTGCAATCACAATGGGTGTCATTAAAACTAAAATGTTTTGTACCAATGTACATTTGAGTGATAATTCAGTGAGCCATTCATTCTCTGGATGCACATTGTCACAGGAGATTTTATTGATGACATCTGGACATGAATACAACAAAAGACTAAAGGATCTAGTCACTGGGGCTGATGGTATCAATATTGTCCCACCGATGTGCGTGCTGCTGACAATCCACTGGAGGAATGGACAAACACAGACTGCAAAAACCAAATATGCAGCGTGTGACGAAACCGGACCCCGACTGCACTAGGGTATTTCCGTTAGACTCCTGCTTCCCTGTCCGAACACAGATCCACGGACACCACTGCTGACCATACCAGACTAGACCAGTCTTGAAATAAATCAGGAAATAGACTCCTTTATTTTAACACAGACACAAGATATATACATTCAAGGGAACAACCCACCTCCCTGCATAAGGACACAGGGTGGGGCAAACCAAATCTAGCAACCAGAGACACATCAGCAGACAGTCCCATCACAGGGAAGGGCTGCCGGAAAACACCCCCCACCAAGTCAATACACAAACACATACATCCCATAATAGTTTGCTCCCAAGCAAGACATGCAATAAAACAATGGGACACAACCACATGGCATTAAACAATGACTAACCCCCCACCCCACCTATACATGTCTACACAATATCAGGACATCTCACCCTGCACCCCTAACAGGCACAGGGTGACCTACACATAAGAGGGATATGGGGAGTTGAGACGGGTTTCCCCACCTCTCCAAAGTGAGCTGTGTTCCATGGGCCCCCCATCCAAAGTGACTCCTATCACATAGCGCACTTAACAATCCAGGGGTATATGAGGCAGAGAGTTATTCCAGAAGGCATCCGACAAGTGCCAAATTCAAAGGTTTTTATTAGTCCTACGAATCTCAAGAATATATTTTAAAAAAATATATATTTTTCATATATTTTGTAATATATAAAAAACGCATTTCAACATGCAGTGTATATATATTTGGGAAGAATATTTTTAAAAATATATTTCAAATATATTTTTCTTCCATATGGGTGTGTACATTGACTTCCATCCTTACATTTATACCGGAATCGTACCAGGGTGCTGAAGGAGCTATAGGAGCTCGTCCACATGACTTACTGGCTCTATACAAATTTGTGACTAATTTTATCCATATGACTAATAAAAACCTTTGATTATGGCATTTGTCAGATGCCTTTTGGAATTACTCTCGGCCTCATATACCCCTGGCTTGTTAGTGTGCTGCATATTTGGTTTTTGCAGTTATTGGTGATATCTGACTTATCTCACTAAGCAAAGCAAGAAGAGCCCAGCAGACGGGGTGCAGGGGTAGATCCCGCGGTGACATGCAGAACATGTATTCGATGGTGGTTCATATAGTCTGCCCATTATAAGGACACCGGGGGGGTGACATGAACTGCATGTATATCACGGACTTACTGGATTCCATCTTATTTCACAGAAAACAATGCGTATAGCTTCGGGAGGACAACCATCGCCAACCTGGACTCCAGGTAAGACCCTGTGCAACAGTACATGGATGTTTGTGTATATGTGTGTACACAGCCGTATTGGTCTACAAGAGGTGAATGGTGTCTTCTCTTCCCTGACGCTGTTTGTTGAATCTCCATCCTCTCTTTGTGTGCCTGGCTCTGGTTGTGTGTGCCTGGCTCTGGTTGTGTGTGCCTGGCTCTGGTTGTGTGTGCCTGGCTCTGGTTGTGTGTGCCTGGCTCTGGTTGTGTGTGCCTGGCTCTGGTTGTGTGTGCCTGGCTCTGGTTGTGTGTGCCTGGCTCTGGTTGTGTGTGCCTGGCTCTGGTTGTGTGTGCCTGGCTCTGGTTGTGTGTGCCTGGCTCTGGTTGTGTGTGCCTGGCTCTGGTTGTGTGTGCCTGGCTCTGGTTGTGTGTGCCTGGCTCTGGTTGTGTGTGCCTGGCTCTGGTTGTGCGTGCCTGGCTCTGGTTGTGCGTGCCTGGCTCTGGTTGTGCGTGCCTGGCTCTGGTTGTGCGTGCCTGGCTCTGGTTCTGTATGACCAGGTCTGGTTTGATTGCCCTGCTTCTGGTTCTGTGTGCCTGGATCTGGTTCAGTTTCCCCGGTTCTGGTTCTCTGTGCCTGGGACTGGTTCCATTTCCTTGGTTTTGGTTCTGTGGACCCAGTTCTGGTTCCATGTCTCTCTTTCTGGTTCCGTGACACTCCTGTTTTTTATTTATTTATTTTTTAATCTGTTGTCTTTGATATGTATAGAACTCTCTCTGTATTGAGGTGTATGCAGTGAGCGTAATTGGGGTGTATGTAAAGGACTCTTTGTACTGAGCTGTATGTACAGGACTCTTTCTGTATTGGGGTGTATATAAAAGATTCTCTCTGTATTGGGGTGTATGTATAAGACTCTTTGTAATAGGGTGTATGTATATGACTCTGTATTGGGGTGCATGTAAAGGACTCTCTCTGTATTGGGGTGTATGTATAGGAGACTCTCTGTATTGAGGTGTATGTATAGGTCTCTCTCTCTCTCTCTCTCTCTCTCTCTCTCTCTCTCTCTCTCTCTCTCTTTCTGTATTGGGTTGCATGTATAGGACTCTCTCTGTATTGAGGCGTATGTATAGGAGACTCTCTGTATTGAGGTGTATGTATAGGTCTCTCTCTCGGTCTCTCGGTCTCTCTCTCTCACACACTTTCTTTGACTCACTCTGTATTGAGGTGTATGTATAGGACTCTCTCTGTATTGGGGTACATGTATAGGATTCTCTCTGTATTGGGGTGCATGTATAGGACTCTCTCTGTATTGGGGTGCATGTATAGGACTCTCTCTGTATTGGGGTGCATGTATAGGACTCTCTCTGTATTGGGGTGTATGTATAGGACTCTCTCTGTATTGGGGTGTATGTATAAGACTCTCTCTGTATTGGGGTGCAGGTATAGGACTCTCTCTGTATTGAGGTGTATGTATAGGACTCTCTTTGTATTGGGTATGTATGCATGTATAAGACTCTCTCTGTATTGGGGTGTATGTATAAGACTCTGTATTGGGGTGCATGTATAGCACTCTCTTTGTATTGAGGCGTATGTATAGGACTCTCTCTGTATTGGGGTGTATGTATAAGACTCTCTCTGTATTGAGGTGTATGTATAAGACTCTCTCTGTATTGGGGTGTATGTATAGGACTCTCTCTGTATTGGGGTGTATGTATAGGACTCTCTCTGTATTGAGGCGCATGTATAGGACTCTCTCTGTATTGAGGCGCATGTATAGGACTCTCTCTGTATTGGGGTGCATGTATAGGACTCTCTCTGTGTTGAGGCGTATGTATAGGACTCTCTCTGTATTGGGGTGCATGTATAGGACTCTCTCTGTATTGAGGCGCATGTATAGGACTCTCTCTGTATTGAGGCGTATGTATAGGACTCTCTCTGTATTGAGGCGTATGTATAGGACTCTCTCTGTATTGGGGTGTATGTATAAGACTCTCTCTCTGTATTGAGGCGCATGTATAGGACTCTCTCTGTATTGGGGTGCATGTATAGGACTCTCTCTGTATTGGGGTGCATGTATAGGACTCTCTCTGTATTGAGGCGCATGTATAGGACTCTCTCTGTATTGGGGTGCATGTATAGGACTCTCTCTGTATTGAGGCGTATGTATAGGACTCTCTCTGTATTGGGGTGCATGTATAGGACTCTCTCTGTATTGAGGCGTATGTATAGGACTCTCTCTGTATTGAGGCGTATGTATATGACTCCTTTCCTTTACCTCCCCAGGAACAATCTCCTTTGGCTTCACACCACCTTCGCCTTCCTCTACCTCCTGCTCACGGTGTACAGTATGCGACGTCACACGTCCAAAATGCGCTACAAGGAGGATGAGCTGGTAATGCAGCACAATGTGATCACACACTTTAATAGATGTCCTCTTATAGAGAGCTCTGTGTTCCCGGCACGGCTTGGTCGCCCACTGATGATCCTCCATTAATGTCCTTTGTTCCTCCATCTCACAAATGCCCTTTTTTTCTGATTTTCCCAGGTGAAGAGAACTCTGTTTATTAATGGCATTTCCAAATATGCAGAGCCAGGAAAAATTAAGAAGCATTTTGAGTAAGTTACAATATTTTCTGATTACTGAACCCTTTGTGAGTGGGGGGAGGGTGTCATGTGAGTGGGGGGAGGGTGTCGTGAGTGGGGGGGGGAGGGTGTCATGCGAGTGGGGGGAGGGTGTCATGCGAGTGGGGGGAGGGTGTCATGCGAGTGGGGGGAGGGTGTCATGCGAGTGGGGGGGAGGGTGTCATGCGAGTGGGGGGAGGGTGTCATGCGAGTGGGGGGAGGGGTGTCGTGAGTGGGGGGAGGGTGTCGTGAGTGGGGGGAGGGTGTCGTGAGTGGGGGGGAGGGTGTCGTGAGTGGGGGGAGGGTGTCGTGAGTGGGGGGAGGGTGTGTGTCGTGAGTGGGCGGGAGGGTGTCGTGAGTGGGCGGGAGGGTGTCGTGAGTGGGCTGGGAGGGGGAGGGTGTCGTGAGTGGGGGGGAGGGTGTCATGCGAGTGGGGGGAGGGTGTCGTGAGTGGGGGGGAGGGTGTCGTGAGTGGGGGGGAAGGTGTCGCGAGTGGGGGGGAGGGTGTCATGCGAGTGGGGGGAGGGTGTCATGCGAGTGGGGGAGAGGGTGTCATGCGAGTGGGGGAGAGGGTGTCATGCGAGTGGGGGAGAGGGTGTCATGTTGAACAGAGTTCTTGGGACCTTAAAGGTAACCTTTACAGAGAGAAACATAAATGCGTGTGCCTGGCTGTCATGCCAAGCCTGTGGCCTCAGTACTTTGTGTCATAGATCCAGACCAAGTACGCAGAGAAGGATTTCTGATTTCTTACTCTGATCTGCATATTTTTCCTCTGTGTTCTGCAGAACTCTGTCTGCTATAATCGGACCTCTGGGTTCTGGAGAACTCTGCTATATTCAGACCTCTGGGTTCTGGGGAACTCTGCTATAATCGGACCTCTGGGTTCTGGGGAACTCTGCTATATTCAGACCTCTGGGTTCTGGGGAACTCTGCTATAATCGGACCTCTGGGTTCTGGAGAACTCTGCTATATTCAGACCTCTGGGTTCTGGGGAACTCTGCTATAATCGGACCTCTGGGTTCTGGAGAACTCTGCTATATTCAGACCTCTGGGTTCTGGAGAACTCTGCTATAATCGGACCTCTGGGTTCTGGAGAACTCTGCTATAATCGGACCTCTGGGTTCTGGAGAACTCTGCTATAATCGGACCTCTGTGTTCTGCAGAACTCTGCTATAATCGGACCTCTGGGTTCTGCAGAACTCTGCTATAATCGGACCTCTGGGTTCTGGAGAACTCTGCTATAATTGGACCTCTGTGTTCTGCAGAACTCTGCTCTAATCATACCTCTGGGTTCTGGAGAACTCTGTCTGCTATAATCAGACCTCTGGGTTCTGGAGAACTCTGTCTGCTATTATCGGACCTCTGGGTTCTGCAAAACTCTGCTATAATCAGACCTCTGGGTCTGCAGAACTCTGCTATAATCGGACCTCTGGGTTCTGGAGAACTCTGTCTGCTATAATTGGACCTCTGGGTTCTGCAAAACTCTGTTATAATCGGACCTCTGGGTTCTGGAGAACTCTGTTATAATCGGACCTCTGGGTTCTGGAGAACTCTGCTATAATCGGACCTCTGGGTTCTGGAGAACTCTGCTATAATCGGACCTCTGGGTTCTGGAGAACTCTGTCTACTATGATCAGACCTCTGGGTTCTGGAGAACTCTGTCTACTATGATCAGACCTCTGGGTTCTGGAGAACTCTGTCTGCTATAATCGGACCTCTGGGTTCTGCAGAACTCTGTCTGCTATAATCGGACCTCTGAGCTCAGAGCAGGGGTCTCCAAATGTTTCATTTCAAGGGCTCCAGCATACATTTTACACATACTCACAGACCAAAAAAAGTCATTTATAAATCCTCAGCAGCGGAATAGAATACAATTTGCCAGGCTGGCGCCAGTGGGCCTAAGAATGCTGCACCTGCATCGTGCGCCCACACCTACACGCCACAGCGGGGGGCTAAACTTCCAATGTGCATTTAAGGCCTTACATGTGTGTTCCTGTCTATCTCCCCATACATCTGCATCCCCATCACTCATCAGCGTTTTCTTGCAAATTGGTGTCCCAATCATAGTCAACTACCCCACCCCCTTCGGTGTCCCCATCATAGTCAACACCCCACCCCCTTCATTATATATACATACACACACAAACTTGTTTCCTCATCATCCATCAGAGTCTTCCTGCAAATTGGTGTCCCCCATCAGAATGCCCCCACACATTTGTGTGCCCATCCGAGCCATCACCTCCCCACAACTGTGTCCCCCTCAGGACTTTCACCACCGCCTTCCCCCTCCTACATCTGTTACCCCATCAGACTATGCCATTTGTGTGCCCATCAATGCACCCCCTGGACTGTGCTTCCATTAGAGCCAATCATCCCCCCCCCCACCCAACTTCAAAGCCCCCCAACAGAGCCATCATCGCCACCAACAACAGTGTCCCCATCCCTCCCCACATTTGTATCCTTTCCATTAGACTCTCTGTACATTGGGAGGCGCAGCGGGGCAGGGGCCGGGAGGCGCAGCGGGGCAGGAGGTGGGTCAGGAGCCGGGAGGTGCAGGGGCCAGGAGGCGCAGCGGGGCTGGAGCCGGGAGGTGCAGCAGGGCAGGAGGCGGGTCAGGAGCTGGGAGGCGCAGCGGGGCAGGGCCGGGAGGCGCAGCGGGGCAGGGGCCTGGAGGCGGGGCAGGGGCCTGGAGGCGAGGCAGGGGCCGGGAGGCGGGGCAGGGGCCAGGAGGCGCAGCGGGGCAGGAGGTGGGTCAGGAGCCCGGAGGCGCAGGGGCCAGGAGGCGCAGCGGGGCTGGAGCCGGGAGGTGCAGCAGGGCAGGAGGCGGGTTAGGAGCTGGGAGGCGCAGCGGGGCAGGGGCCAGGAGGCGCAGCGGGGCAGGGCCCGGGAGGCGCAGCGGGGCTGGAGCCGAGAGGCGCAGCAGGGCAGGAGGCGGGTCAGGAGCTGGGAGGCGCAGCGGGGTAGGGGCCGGGAGGCGGGGTTGGGAGGCGCAGCGTGGCAGGGCAGGAGGTGGGGCAGGGGCCGGGAGGCGCAGCGGGCAGGAAGGTGGGTCAGGAGCCGGGAGGCGCAGCGGGGCAGGGTCCGGGAGGCGCAGCGGGGCGGGAGGCGGGGCAGGGTTCGGGAGGTGTAGCGGGGCAGGATCCGGGAGGCCGATCGAGGCAGGGGCTGGGAGGCGCACTGAAAAACTTTGTTGGTTGACGCTGGCGGTTCTAGCAACCAACACCTGGGGGTGCTGGGAGTGGTTGCAGGACCTGTGCTGCACAGAGACTGTCCCTTAAGCTTTGAGTCTTAGGACTCTAGCTGCTGACCAGTAAAAAGTCCAAGCAAGCCGGATGTGGCCCACGGGCCCTACTTTGGAGACCCCTGCTGTAGAGAACTGTCTGGTGTGAGATTTGTTGGCTCTGGAGAACTGTGTCTGGATATCTTGGCTGTGAGATATTCCTCAATGCTTGTCTTTTGTTGCAGGGAGGCGTATGACCACTGCACAGTGCTGGAAGCTCGGCCGTGCTATAACGTGGCCAGGCTTATGTTTCTGGATACCGAGAGGTAAGAGTACAGAGCTGCATTCATCATATTCGCTTTCATAGTATAACAATGTCTTATTGACTTGCGGTCCGGCCGCCCGCAATGTACTGTGGATGAGCGGCCCACACAGGCAAAGCAACGCAACCGTACGTCGCTCCCTGTTTCCAGGTTTTAGGTGCGCCCCCGCCCACCTACTTCTGTTTTGATTGTACACAGTATAAGCCTGTCACAAAGTCCTGGTCAGTGATTCACAGCTGGGACCTGCTGCTGATCTGCTGTGTCCAATCACAGCCCAGAGCCATGTGTTGACAATCAACACAGAGCTCTGTACAGAGGAAAGGATAGGATCTGTTTCTCATCCCTGCTTTTCAGAGATCATTATTAAAAACAGCACAACACATGTACACACAGGCACACATTTAACCCCTTGATCATCCCTAGATGGTAACCCTTTCCAGCCATGCTCAGTACAGTGACAATGTATAGTAATATCCCTGATTAGACTGTATTAATGTCAGTGGCGGTTAGTCAGTTCCCACACAGCGTCAGTTAATGTCAGAATGTCTGCCACATTATCCACCATCCCCCGTTATAAGTCGTTGATCACCACCATTACATTATTATACAAAAAAAAATGTCCAGTATATATACCCTTTATCCAAGTTTATATGGGCGCTAAAACTTTCAAGTCTTTAAACCGATCAAAAAACTTAGGATTTAATTTTTTATATAGTAGCATTACATTTTGGCCAACTTTATACTAAAATTAGATATATTTTTTTTTTTGGATATGTTCCTGTAGTAGAAAGTAAAAAAAAATATTTGTTTTCGTGAAATTTTCAGTCTTTATTTTTGAAAAAATAAAAAAAACCCAGAGGTGATCAAATGCCACACGTGATTGGTGTGAAAAAAATTCTGTCAGTTTGGGTACACGTTGCATGACTTACACATGTGCCATAGTCACATAAAATCCAAAACTAAAAATGTTACACTTCTAGATGCAGTAAGGGGACACTTACGCAGAAGTTAAATAACAAATAATAGAAAGCTGGGGAATGTCAGCATGGCCCATATGACATCTCAGCTGGTCATTTCAAACAAAATCCCCATGGAGACCTAAAGAAGGAAACTATCCCCGTCTCCCTAAGTATGTTGCTAATTACAACAGGCAATTCTACCCGTTGATACTTTCCATGATTCTCACACCCTTGGAGGAACCCACTTGGATATGGGGTTATCCAAGTAGGTAGTGGGGTTTTTTTTTTTCAAAGTCCTGAATTTCAGGTTAGAGTTACTCGCCCCCAAACACACACAAACAGGAGACTCCATACACACAAGGGACATGAACAAACGCCAAGGGATCAGTTTTACACCCAGCACAGAGACACATGTACCAACGAGTAGAGAGATGTAGGACTTTTCACCCAAGGACAGGGGGACTGAACAGAGACAGAGACCACATGGTAGAAAAACCACATAGTACATGTAAAACCACAACTCCAAAGTTGGACAACAAAAGGAAAAGGTAAAGATGTATAGGGAAGGAAATAATATAATTTGAGCTCCATTTCCCCTGACACAAAAAGATAGTACACAGAGGTGTTATAATGGACTCACAAATTTGCCCCTAAATCAAATATGAGTAAATTATAACAGTAGTATATATTGGATGTTAATCATATACATAAGAAAACTGAATATTAAAAAATATTTCTCCTCCTTGCCAGGACCCATTTAAGAAAATAAAGTGGGCCCTTCTGTTTTACAGGACCCTTTTGTACATAGTGTACGTACATATTAAGGAAATATCAGGACTTTTAACCCAGGGAATAATAATAAGAACGTTTTATAGAAGTTACGTATAAACATACACGTGTACGTTATAGAGGATATTAGAAATATGGACAATAATAAAAGATTCAGAAGATAGAACAAGTATTTCACAAGAAGGCCTTGATACATTTAAAAAAACGTAATAATGTGTAATATAGGCCGGCAGATAAAGGTGGAGGGGTGGTAGTGTTAGATAGATCAGCTTATGAGGAAAACAGATGGAAGATATTTTAAAAGATACAGATACTTATATATAAAAATTAAAAGTAATCCCCTAACTTCTTATAAAAAAATACTCCAAGAATTATTTAATGGAGCAAAAAAAAGATGGGATCTTGAATGAAAGAGAAGCTAGATATTGATCCCGCAACATTGTTAAAATGCCCATTATGTATTATCTGGCCAAAAATACATAAATTTTACATTTAAAACATAACAAATCCCCCCCGGTAAGACCAATTATAAATGGCATTGGATCAATACACTCTCCAGGATGGAGAGTATATTGTTTTTTTTCTTCAGCCGATAGTTTTAAACTAATGCCCATCTTATTTAAAAGACGCACAAGAAGTGATTGATTTGTGGAATTGAGGAAAACTTCTAGTGATACTATATTGGTAGACTAAATTGATATAAACTCTTTATATACGAATATTAAACATGAAGAAGGTCGCTTAAGAGCTATTAAATTGGGGGTTTGAAGAATTTTTTCAAGTTTGCATAGAAAACAGAGGAGGAGATTCATTTTTTAAAATTGTTGGATTTTTGTATGTACAAAAATTACTTTTGGTATGGAGAATAGCTACTATGAACAAAAGAGGGGAAGTAGCAATGTTTGCGGCGAAATTCGCGCCCAGTTTGGCTAACATATTTTTAAGTAAATGGGAAGAGAAGTAATTTTTTTTTAAAAGAAAATGGGAAAGGATGGTTTTGTGGAAAAGATATATCGATGATATCTTGGTATTATATGGGGGATGGACCCGAGAGCCTCTTTGGAGGCCTTTATTGAAGTAATTATTAAAAATGAACATGAGTTGGGTTTTACTGTTTAATATGGATAAATATTCGGTTCAACTTTTTAGATTTTGGATATTTTTGTTGAGAATAATGTTATTTTATACTAAAACATTTAATTTTAAAGAGACCGATAGGAATGGTTACATTCCCACCCAAAGTTGCCATCACCCTACTTTGGATTAATGGAATCCCTAAAGGCCAGTTCCTCAGAATTTTCCGCAATTGTAGTAGATTAAAGGAATATATTGAACAGACGGAAATAATTAAGAGTATTTTTTTATTTTTTTATTGAGAAAGGGTATGATCCTGAATCATTGGAAAAAATAAGATTTGAAATAAGTTAAAAAGCTATATAGGAGAGAAGAAATATAATACCTTTACTCAATAAGCAGAAAATGATTGACAATAAGGTGGAATTTGCATTTATCTCAGGCTATAATAGCCAATATAGAGATATGGAAGCCATTTTTCACAAACATTGGTCTATCCTAAGAAGAGATCCAATTTTGGGACAAAAGGTTCCTAATAAACCCCCATTTATTTATAGAAAATCTAAAAATTTGAGAGACATTTTGGTAAAAAATATTATATCTCCTCCTATAAAAAAAGAAAAATCTATGTTTGATTATGTTGGATTTTTCCATGTAAGAAGTGTAGTATTTGTAAAGTCACTAATACAAAAACTAGAAGGATATCGAATTTTGCGTCATGTAACACGGGATATGATTTAAAATTCAGGAATTTATTACTTGCACTACGGCCTTTGTAACTTATTTATTAGCATGCCCATGTCGGCTTCAATACGTGGGAAGGACCTCAAGACCTCTGTACAAAAGGTTGAGGGAAAATGTTACTAATATTAAAAATGGCAAAAGAGAGATCACTGTCCTTTCAAGACATTTTAAAGAGTACCACAATTGTGACCCTAGTGGTTTACGATTTTTGTGGAATTGATAAAGTGGAGACACATGGAGAGGGGGGTGATAAAATAAAGGCCATCTCAAAAAATGAAATGTTTTTGGATTTTTGAGTATACAGACAATGAAACCTAGGGGCCTTAATGTATATTTAGATCTGAATTGTTTATTTCTAATTCTGATTTAAAAAAATTTTTTTTTACATAAAATATTTTAACTTGATGGGATGAGTTTTATGACAATTTTAGAGGGATTAGATGAAACAAATATATTATATTTATGTATGTGGATGAGAGAGGAAAATAGAGTATATTATATTTAATAATATTAAGTAATAATAATAATATATAATAGAATTTGATAATGTTTTAGGAAGGAATTTGTTGGGTAGAAAATGTAGATTATACTGATAGTTTTAAATTCTTTTGTTCATGCAAATATATGGTCTATTTTAGGATGGTATGCCTGTACTTTGGGATGACTTAAATTTTATTATTTCATATGAAATTTTACCTGTATGGTTTTTTTATATATATATGTAGAGCGTCTTTCCTTAATTCTTCCTTAAATAATTCGAGGGAGGTGGGTTAAAATAAAGCTGGGGCATCTTAGATGGGTAGATTTTTAGATAAAAAGGACCCAAAATCCACTATAATAATGTATTCAGATTGAGGTTATGTTTTAAAATGAAATATAATTATTTTATAACATTATGCAGAATGTGATGTATAATTATTTAAGAGACTAGGTGATTGAGATGTTAGGGGTTAATAATGTATTTTTATGTATCAAATAAATTATGTGGTAATGTATTATATAATTTATAGAAAGCCAATGAATAATTATGAAGGTAGAGTTTTACAGTATGGTATGTTGGTGGACGATTTTTATATTCGGTATTATTTGCCGATCAGTTGTAAGCAGTTACCGGATAATACTGGCACTGCTCCCATCTCCAATATGGCGGTGAGTGTTTCGGCGCGCCATGATGAGGAGGGGTTTAAATAGAACTGTGGGTTGCTTTGACGCTCACACCCCTTTATGACTAAGTCGATGACGGAAACGCGTCAAGGCGGAGTGACGTTAAGACGTTATTCCCCTCGGAAACCGGGGAAGTTACCACCTGGCGGCCATTTTAGATAAGGGACGAGATCGAGCAGGAGCGACGGGACGTGTCTCCCTGGATGTCCGTGAGATCCTTACACCTTCTGAACTCCCTCTAATGCGTTGTTTAAACTTTGGCATGGGAGCAGTTACAAATAAAGTGTTTATTATCATTTTATTGGCGGTATCACACTATGTCCTCTATGTTTTTTTGGTGACACTGTGAGCAGTAGTGTATGAGGAATCCAGAGAGTTGGTGGTGCGCTGGAGATACAGCAGAGGTTCCTGAGTTGATCGGCCTGAAAAGTTCCTGGATTGTACAAACAAAGCCTATTATATTGGGAAAGTTGGTAAGGGTACCCTTACTGCATCTAGAAGTGTACACATTTTTAGTTTGGATTTTCAGTGTGATATGGCACTGTAAGAGTGTTGTTGTGTACACTGAAGTGTTTTTCACGGATCACGTGTGGTTCAACGTTTTTTCACTCACTATTCTTTCACGTATAAGTTTCACTATAGAAGCACAAATAAAGTTTAAATATATAATTTTATAAGGATATGCACTATATGAGTTTTCCTTTTTTTGACGGTGGACTGTGTTTTGGAATATCGTTGGAAGAATATGGGACATTTTTTTGCATAAGATTTATAGTGGACTATATATTGGTAGTGGATTCACCTTACGACAAAATTGGGTATTATTGTTTTGGAGCATTGTTTTATAACACTGTCACGTATATGTTTGGTACACTTTCAGGGAAGGTGTTTTGATTGTGTTATAGGGTAATATATTAGAAGGAGGTGGTTGATGTTTAATCATTATTAAAAACAGCACACACATTACACACAGGCACACATTTAACCCCTTGATCATCCTAGATGGTAACCCCTTTCCAGCCAGTGTCAGTCAGTGACAATGTATTACGTATTATCACTGATTACTGTTATTAATGTCAGTGGCGGTTAGTCCCAGTTCCCACCAGCGTTCAGTTAATGTCAGAATGTCTGCCACTTTATCACCATCACCCGTTATAAGTCGTTGATCACCGACATTAGTATATATGCAAGAATACAATTCCAGAAGTATACTCTACCTTTATGTAGTTTATGACGGCGCTATATACACTTTCAAGCAAACCGATCAATACACTTATTTGGATTTAATTTTTTTAATCAAAGACGTAGATAGTAGAAACAATTTTTGGCCAACATTTATACTAAAATGTAGATTTATTCTTTTTTTGGATATGTTTTGTATAAAAGTAAAAAAAATATTTTGTTTTACCCAAATTTACAGTCTTTTTTTTGTTTATATTACAAAAAAAAAAAACCCCCGCCCAGAGGTGATCAAATGCCACCAAAAGAAAGCTCTATTGGTGTGGAAAAAATATTCTGTACATTTTGTTTGGGTACAGCGTTGCATGATAGACCGCACATGTGCCATAGTAGGTCATAGAGCACAAAAAATGGTCTAAAGGGGAGCTTAAGTGGTTGTACTGGACACAACGCCAGAATTCACTAACAAAAGACTAGAAAGCTGGGGCACAGCATGGAGCCCATAGAGACTTGTCAGCTGTCATTCTGTGACTTTATTTTTTCTTGAGTGTTTAAATCCACCACTCTTCAGTATGTTGCTCCAATGCAGCTTTCGTGAAAATGTGTGAAAGGTTTCCATGTGTTCTCTGTAAGGGCCTTAGAGTTACTCGCCACCAACAAACACACACAAACAGAGACTCCTGTACACACACACAGACATGGTACACACTACGCACATGAGACACATGTACACACACGCACAGAGACACATGTACACACACGCACAGAGACACATGTACACACACGCACAGAGACACATGTACACACACGCACAGAGACACATGTACACACACGTACATACACTACATACACGCAGACAGACACGTACATACACTACATACACAGACACGTGTACGTACATATACACACACAGTGTACACATACACAGACACGTGTACGTACATACATACACAGACACGTGTACGTGTACGTACACATATACAGACACGTGTACGTACATATACAGGCACGTGTTACATATACAGGCACGTGTACGTACATATACAGCACGTGTACGTACATATACAGGCACGTGTACGTACATATACAGGCACGTGTACGTACATATACAGGCACGTGTACGTACATATACAGGCACGTGTACGTACATATACAGGCACGTGTACGTACATATACAGACACGTGTACGTACATATACAGGACACGTGTACGTACATATACAGGCACGTGTACGTACATATACAGGCACGTGTACGTACATATACACACACAGACACGTGTACGTACATATACAGACACGTGTACGTACACATACAGACATGTACGTACACACACAGACACGTGTACGTACACACACAGACACGTGTACGTACATATACACACACAGACACGTGTACGTACATATACACACACAGACACGTGTACGTACATATACACACACAGACACGTGTACGTACATATACACACACAGACACGTGTACGTACATATACACACACAGACACGTGTACGTACATACACGCACGCACACACACACACCACCACCACCAGCCCCCCCCCAAAAAAAAAGTTGCAGTACTTCGTTGTTCACTCACAGAGCCAGGTACTGCACTCTAGGGGGAGGCAGAGAGCACAGCACACACTCCTTGCTTTGCTTTCATTGCGCTCAGCTATTGAGCAGTCTGACGGCTCCCAGTGCCAATGACAGATCCGGCCTGAGCTCTGACCTTGCTCAGCAAGACGGCCCTGGGGGACACACTCACCCCCACCATAATTTCTACTCCCCATTGGCGAGCAGGCGAGTGGAAATTTCAAGCCCTGATAATAGCATGTGACTGTGGTGGGGACATTAGATGATAAGCTCCCTTGGTTGGTGGACTGGTGTGAAGGGTTCGTTATTCTCCTTACTACTCATGTCTCTTTTCTGTTTAGGAAAAAAGCTGAGCGCGGTCGCGTCTACTTCACCCACCTGAAGAGTAAAGAGAACATCACGTCTCACATCAACCCAAAGCCATGTGGTCATTTATGCTGCTGCGTGATAAAAGGGTGTGAGCAGGTGAGAGGACAAGGAGGTGCACAGAATCTGCAAAAAGCCGGCAAAAAGAATCCATCTGTACATGCTGTAAACTAGATTCTGATTGGATACTGTGGCTTTGCATAATGTGCAGCCTTGTTGAGAAAGCCCAAGGTCGGGCAATAGTGGGGGTCACCTGTGTGGGTTTAATAGAACCCAATCCAAAAGCTAATAAAATAACTTGGATTAAGTTATGATACCTACCACCAGAGATCATCGGCTTATGTACATGGGAATTGTATTCCTGCAATGATGGAATCTCGAGCATTAAGTATTTTGTACATGGGTGTTGTATTTTTTTATGTTTGTCAACACAGGGCCCCATATGTTTTAGTGATGCAGAACAGATGACCATTCCGATGCTGCATTTGACCCATTTTGTGTTGGACAAGGCAGGTCCTATTGAGATGTGTTTAAGGTGGAAGGCAAGGGAAGCCAAATGCTGATTGTTTTGCTGTGATTTGTGTTTGTTGTATTTGAATACTGTATGAACAGCACCCCTGGTAGGAGATATGGGCTCACCAAACACACACGGGTCTGACACCTTGGTCTTCACCACAGCACCTTTCCAAGGGATGATTGGCCAGTGACTCTGCTGGGTACTAAACTACTTTGCTGAAGGATATCCCCAGGTCACCAGCCTTAGGATTGCCCCACCAGGGGTTGACAGGAACAGGGTGGCTACATTAAGGCTACAGTGTGGCAGCAATACAAAGTCAATGTCCAGGCAGAGAAAATAGTCCAGGTGGAGGTCAAAGCAGGTGGCAACAAGGACAGGAGACACAGGCAGTTTCTGATGATCGAGGCCAGCAACAGAAACACAGAATTTGTCGGTCTCTTACAAAAAAAAAAGAAATCACCGCACCAGCTACCTTTAGGGAAAGTCCCTAAAACCCCCCTTGGCCTGTGCGTACATCCAAACGTGAGGGATAGGGGCGGACTGACCATTTGGAAACTCAGGCACTGCCCGAGGGGCCGGGGTCAGTAGGGGCCCCATGAGATGCCCCCTGGTACCTTTTTCATTGGCTTTTTGGAGTTTGGGCAAGGACACGGGGGCCCCATGATCCCCTATTGCCCGGAGGCCCCATGAGTTGTCAGTCCGCCCCTGGTGAGGGATATATACGTTAATGCGCACACACACCCTCGACCAACCATGCATGGTCTCTTTTGGAGACATGATATCCAAGCCTTGGAAGGTGGTATCCAGTGAGGTGCTCTATGGGAGCTATTAGCGAGTGATGAAGGCCTAATATAACTATATAAAAAGGTGATGCCCAGTGAGGTGATCTATGGAACGTATTAGGGAGGGATGGAGATGCGACATACATTGGAAGTCGATATCCAGTGAAGTGCTCTATTGGAGCTATTAGGGGGCGATGACATGATTTAAATACATTACAAGGCGATGCCTAGTGAGGTTCTCTCTGGGAAGTATTAGAAAGTGATGGAGACATGATCACATACAGTTGAAAGTGGTATCCAGTGAGGTACCCTATCCGTGATATTAGGTAGTGATATTGGCATAATATACTTACATTGTTAGATGATACCCAGTAAGATGCTCTATGGCACGGGTGTCAAACTGGCGGCCCTCCAGCTGTTGCCAAACTACAAGTCCCATGAGGCATTGCAAGATTGACCATTACAAGCATGACTCCCAAAGGCAGAGGCATGATGGGACTTGGTAGTTTCTCAACAGCTGGAGAGACGCCCGTTTGACACCCCTGCTCTATGGGAAGTATTAGGAAGTGATGAAAACATATGATGGACATACAATGGAAGGTGGTAGCCAGTAAGGCGCTCTATGGGAGCTTTTAGGGAGTGACTGAAGGTGATTCCTAATAAGGGGCTTTATGAGAAGTATTATGATGTGATGGGGATGTGATAAACTTACATTGGGAGGCGGTACTCCATGGGAAGAGTAAGGGAGTAATTACATTGGAAGGTGATGCCAAATGAAATGCTCTATGGGAAGTGTCAGAGTGATGGAGACATGACCTGCATACATTGGAAGGTGGTACCCTGTAAGATGCCCTATCAGAGATATTAGGAAGAGATGCAGACAATATATACCTTTCATTGAAAGTGGTACCCAGTTAGGTGTTCTATGGAAAGTATTAGGACGTGATCAAGACCTGATATAGTTTACATTCACTGGAAGGTTGTATACAGTGAGATGCTCTTTTAGAAATATTAGAGAGGGATGAAGACGTAATATACATACTTTTGTAGGTGGTACCCAGTGAGGTTCTGTATGAGATCTCTTACGGAGTGATGTAGACATGATATACATGTGAAGGGAGTCACTTTGGGTGGGGGGCCCATGGAACGCAGCTCTCTTTGGAGAGGTGGGGAGACCCCTGTCTCAGCTCCCCATATCCCTCTTATGTGCAAGTCACCCTGTGCCTGTTAGGGGTACTGGGTGATCTGTCCTAATATTGTGTGGGCTTTGTCTCAGACTGTGTACACATGTTTAGGAGATAGGTGGGATGGGGGGTTGTTGATTGTTTAATGTTATGTGGCTGCATCCCATTGTTCTATTGTTTGTCTGGCTTGGGAGCAAACTATTATGGGATGTATGTGTAATAGCTTAGTGGGGGGGTGTCTCCAGCAGCCCTCCCTCCTGATGGGACTGTCTGCTGATGTGAAGTTTGAATACCTGTGTGTCTTGTTACTAAGTATAGATTGCCCCGCCCTGTGTCATTATGCAGGGAAGGGGGATTGTCCCCTGAGTGTATATATCTTGTATCTGTGTTCAAATAAAGTAGTCTACTCTGGTTTACTTCAAGACTGATGTTATCTAGTCTTGTATGGTGGCTGTGGTGTCTGTTGTCGGTGGTCGGACGGGGGGAAGCGGTATTCTAACGGAAGTACTCAAGCGCATTCTGGGTCAGTTCCATTACAATACATACATTGGACAGCAATACCCAGTGATGTGCACTGTGGGAGGTAATATTGACTGATGCAGACTTGCTGTGTGTCATTGCTCTGATGTTAGGGTGATGGGATGCAGCTTCCATACAGATTTAGTACGCTTTCCCACCCACCGTCTCCTTCTCAATAAACATGTTTTGTGAACTCTGATGGCTGTGTTGGTTCCTTCACACGATTTTTTAAACTGATTGCACACAGTCATAGTAAACTCTGATAACCAGCAAAATAACAGTCCGGTGAGATAGGGAATGGGTTGGTGAGGCAGATGGTTAAAACTGCAGAATTTCTCTAAAATTGCCTGAGACGTACAGAGAGTAGTTCACTGGTACCACTGTAATGTAATGTTGATCTTCTTTTACCACCCCAGGTGGAGGCCATTGAGTATTACACACGGCTAGAGCAACGACTGAAAGAAGAATACAAGAAAGAAAAGGAAAAGGTCAATGAGAAACCACTTGGAATGGCCTTTGTCACCTTTCAGAACGAGGCCACCACAGCCATGTAAGTCCAATGGGACCCAGATTCTGAAATGTCTAGGCCTCATCTTGGTTTTGTTGGCTTCTGATTCTCCACCCTCTAGTGTTACCAACACCTGAGACTTAACGCTTTAGCCATTTGGTGTTTCACACCTAAGCGTTTCTAGAATGTAACTGAAATCCCTAGAGTGTGCCGTGACTCCTCCTTATGGTGAGGCTCTGTTACCCTGTATTTGGCCCCTTACCTCTGTTACCCTGTATTTGGCCCCTTACCTCTGTTACCCTGTATTTGGCCCCTTACCTCTGTTACCCTGTATTTTGGTTCCAGGAGACTTTTTGCTCACCCAAATCTCAAACGTTTGTGACAGCAGTGCACTCAAACCTGTGTTTTTTTATTTTTTTTAGCAGAAACCTTGTAAATGTTTTGTTTGTTTTTATTCCCTTGCAGGATCTTGAAAGATTTCAATGCATGTAAATGTCATGGCTGCAGCTGCCGAGGGGAGCCCAGAAATTCATCCTGCAGTGAAGCGCTTCACCTCCACAACTGGACTGTCAGCTATGCTCCAGATCCCCAGAATATCTACTGGTGAGAGAAGGTTCCTCTGGGGTGGGGGAGAGCAGAGCATAATCATTCCTAGGTCTGTGCTTTTAGGGGTGGGACAAGGGGCATGGTCATTCCTGAGGTGTGCCTCCAGGGCAGTGTACAGTGGGGAGTGGTCATTCCTGTGGTGTACCACCAGGACCGGGTACAATGGGCCATCATCATTCCTGAGGTGTACCACCAGGACAGGTTACAATGGGACATCATCATTCCTGAGGTGTACCTCCAGGACAGGGTACAATGGGACATGGGCATTCCTTATGTATACCTCCAGGACAGGGTACAACAGGACGAGGTGTGTCTCCAGGACGCGGTCATTCCGCAGGTGTGCCTCCAGGACGCGGTCATTCCGCAGGTGTGCCTCCAGGACGCGGTCATTCCGCAGGTGTGCCTCCAGGACGCGGTCATTCTGCAGGTGTGCCTCCAGGACAGGGTTCAGCGGGAGAATGATCATTCCTGAGGTGTGCTTTTTAGGGTGGCTCTGGAGCTGGGGAGAGGTTGGAGTAGTCATTCCTAAAGCATGTGGCTCAGAGAAAGGAAGATTTGAGCTGCGGTCATTCCTGGAGCTTAACTTTGGAGGAGGGAGAGGGGGGGGGGGGCTGCTCATTTCTGCAGATGTGAAATGCACGCTCTCTATATACACCCTGTTCCACATTATTATGCAAATTATATTTTTCTCATTTCCCTCAATAATTGATGTAAATAACAGTCGGCTTAATTCTCAGATTACAACTATAAGAGTACAATTCACATTTTATTGCACAAACCTCCTAATGATAACAGGATTTTTGTTCCAAATTATTCCGCACAGGAAGTTTCAAAACACTTTCTAGGTTGTAAAGAACTGAAAATTGTCATTTGTTGTGTTTGCAGCAAATTTACTGAAATCAAAAGAGATTTCAATCAAACTTTTAACAACATTGTAACTTTGTAAACATTTGAACAGGTCCCGTTACATTGTAACATAGGAGCCCTTATTTGATAGCAGATCACAAGTCTGGCATCCATTGAACTTGGGAGTTTTTGGACAGTTTCTGCTTGAATTTGTTTGCAAGATGTCAGAATAGCCTCCCAGAGCTGCTGTTTGGATGTAAACTGCCTCCCACCCTCATAGATCTTTTGCTTGAGGATGCTCCAAAGGTTCTCAATAGGATTGAGGTCAGGGGAGGATGGAGGCCACACCATGACTTTCTTTCCTTTTATCGCCATAGCAGCCATTGATGCGGAGGTATTCTTTGCAGCATGAGATGGTGCATTGTCATGCATGAAGATGATTTTATTACGGGAAAGCATAGTTCTTCCTTCAGTACCAGGGAAGAAAGTGGTCAGTCATAAACTCCACATACTTTGCAGAGGTCATCTTTACACCTTCGGGGCCCCTAAAGGTGTGACCAGCTCTGTTCCCATGATTCCGGCCCAAAACATGACTTCACCACCGCCTTGCTGACATCGCAGCCTTGTTGGAACAGGGTGGCCGTCCACCAACCATCCACTACTCCATCCATCTGGACCATCCAGGGTTGCACGGCACTCATCAGTGAACAGGACTGTTTGAAAATGAGTCTTCATGTATTTTTCTGCCCAATGCAGCCGTTTCTGCTTGTGAGCATTGGTTAGTGGTGGCCAAATAGAAGGTTTCTGCACAGTTGCAAGACTCTGGTGGACTCTACACCTTGATGTCCGTGGGACTCCAGAGGCACCAGCAGCTTCAAATATCTGTTTGCTGCTATGTAATGGTATTTTAGCAGCTGCTCTCTTGATCCGATGCATGGATCTGGCAGAAATCTTCCTCAATGTGCCTTTATCTGCACCAACCCGTCTGTGCTCTGAATCAGCGACAAATCTCTTCATAGTGCGATGATCACGCTTAAGTTTTCGTGAAATATCGAATGTTTTCATCCTTCGTCCAAGGCATCGAACTATTTCACTCTTTTCGGCAGCAGAGAGATCCTTTTTCTTTCCCATATTGCTTGAAAATGCTGCTCTGCTTAATAATGTGGAACGCCGTCCTTTAGTAGTTTTTCCTTAAATTGGGCTCACCGGCCAATCTAATTATCACAGGTGTCCGAGATTGTTTTCAGTGATCAAAAGAGCCCTGACACACAATGCCATCCATGAGTTACACTGAAAAACAAAATATTTAATCTTTGTGACACTTAAATAGAATTTGTATAATCATTTGGAACACGGTGTACACATGACTTCTAGGAGATGAGTGGAGTGAATGTTAGTGAACTAAAAACCTTCCGCCATGTATAGAGGCTTGTTCATGACACGCTCCCCTTGAGCAGCAGCTTTCTGTTCCCCGGTCTATAGTTTGTAAAGATACACATACACGGTGGAAGCCAATTTTACTCAATATGTATGCAGGCTTTAAATTCTGTTCAGAAAGGCTCCACAGTGCTTGTGTTTTAGTGTTCCTGACTATAGACTATGCTGTTGTGCTTACTCCACACATCAATGAGTAAGAACACTTAAAAATACATGTTTTCCTAAAAACAATTACATTTTAAAAATAAAAAGTAATGTATGCCCTTTAAGTTGGGTCAGAGGCAGATGCAGGGCACTGCCCGAGGGCCCAGGATCAGTAGGGGGCCCCATGAGATGCCCCTAGTACCTTTTTTATTGGCTTGTTTAAGTGTGGGTAAGGATACAGGGGCCCCATGATCCCCTATTGCCCGGAGGCCCCATGAGTTGTCAGTCCGCCCCTGGGCAGATGCATGCCGAGCAGACTGGTGGCCGTAATTTGCGCTGGGTATTGGGTTATGGCTGATCCATGATAGAAGGGCTGTGTGTACCTCAGGGTAGACTGTGCTCATGATTCAGGAAAATGTAGGATGCAGCTGCCCAAATCTGGGATCTCATGATAAATGTGTCCTTGTCACCCCTAGGGAGCACCTGTCTACACGTGGCTTCATTTGGTGGATCCGCTGCCTGATTATCAACGTCATTCTCTTCCTCCTCCTCTTCTTCCTCACAACGCCAGCCATTATCATCACCACCATGGACAAGTTCAACGTTACCAAACCCGTGGAGTACCTGAACGTGAGTCTGGGGAAAGGCGGGGGGCAACCCATATTTCTCATGAACGTCAAAAACACTGGATGTAGTGCAGACACAGAGCTACCTGTACAGCGGATGGTTAGCTTGTGAGACTGATCTAAAGATTTAGAAATGGCAGAATGGAAATGGAAGAAATATCTTACTCCTATAGAATATTATAATGATCAATACAAATCGGGTAACCTTTATACGGCTTTATGTTATGGGGAAGCTTTTGTTGTCGCAGGTATTTGGGTACTGAGCACCATCTGGGAGATGAGAACCACAAGGCCCAGCCATGTTCAATGACTGCTCTTACAGACCCAGAAACTAGAAATGATGTTATGCTTTGTTAGACCCACAAACTGGAACGAGATTGAAGTGTCTGACCTCATACAGTGCAGTAAGTGCGCCACACCAACAGTCACAGAATCCAGAATAATTTAACCTCCCTAGCGGTCTGATTACGTCAATATTTCTGTGCTCAAAACTGTACATTTTTTTGCATGGAAATATGTCGTTTTTTTTATTGTAGGTCTGTAATTTTTAGGAATAACTCACTCACTGAAATGTGTCCAAACAATAAACATCCGGGTAGGATAAAATTTGAAACACAAAATCATAAATTATAATATAATAGTCATAAAAAAAATAATAAATTTAGTTCAATAATGTAATCAAACCAAAAACACTGAAATGTGAAATAGAGCGCCAAGTTCGCACATCGCTGAGCAAAGTCGCAGAATCGTTTTCAGTGTCTGATGAGGAATTTCCCCCACAAATCATATCACTCAATTCTGCAAGTGGTTCTGATTTACTATCGCTGTTCTCTAGCCGGTCTAAAACCGCGTCTGACCTAAAGGGACTCTTTTTGGACGCCATGGACGTTTCTCAGTTTCCAGGCAGAGAAGAACAGTAAAAATGCAGGCAGGGCGCCGGACAAAGCACTCGGGATGCTCACAGGGACCGGAACCCAGAAGACGGATGCCGGCATCGGCCGGAGGAGATGGCCGGGGATGCTGCAGGGGGGACATCGCGTGAGCGCATGACAATGTAAGCGAAACAGGGATCCCAGAGCAACGCTGCAGGGTATTCCTGAGTGTAGCTCGGGGTTACCAGTGAAAGTTTACCCCGAGCTACACTCGGGAATACCGCCAAGGAGGTTAATTAAATAATTGACCAAAAAAGAGAACCAACGCGTTTCGTCAGTTCAAACACTCCCCCTTCAGGGAAAAACCGGAATTCACCAGAATATTTCAGTGCTTTGAAAAATTCAAATTCATGTTATTGGATGCGCTGAGTTATTTTTCTGCACTCTGGTTTTTGGTACAGTTGACTGAAAGTATCGGTCAGCGGTGTATTGGGTTACCGTAGCTGGGTGGAGAGGCAGGTGCCGCCATGTTGCTGTGTCTTAGTATGATCTCCAGCACATGGTGTTGTGGCGGTGGTGACTACAGATGAGTTTATTTATGATATCAGAACACAAAGCCATGTTGTCTAGAGTTGAGGGGCACCAGTCTTTGGAAAAATGTCCCGTTGAAGTGGGGAGTGTCTGAACCTCTGAAACACGTTTTTGTTTGTTTTTTTTTTGTTTTATCTTCTGATTAACCACTTGCCCTCTTGAGTATTTGCATTATGGCGCTGCTTAACTTTAACTGACAATCGCGCGGTCATGCAACACTGCACCCAAATGAAATTTACGTCCTTTGTTCCCCATGAATAGAGCTTTCCGTCGGTGATATTTGATCGCCTGTGCGTTTTTAATTTTTTGCACTATAAAAAAAAAAAAAAGACTGACAATTTTGAGAAAACAAAACTATATTTTTGACTTTTGCTATTAAAGACATCCAGTAAAAAAAAGTAACAAAATCAAATTTTGTCATAAATTTAGGCCAAAATGTATTCTGCTCCGTGTCTTTGCTAAAAACAAAAATCCCGATACCTGTAAATTAATTGGTTTACGTGAAAGTTGTAACATTTACAAATGGCGGTATATATACTGAGATTTAAATTTTTTTTTTTACTAGTAATGGCAGCGATCAGCGACTTATAGTGGGACTGCGGTGGATATTCTGACACTGGGGGGAACTGACTTGGTGTCACTGACACCCTTAGTGACACCAATACAGTGATCAGTGCTAAAAAAAAAACAAAAAAAACACTGAAGCTGTACTAATGGCACCTGGGCAGGAAGAAGTTAACATGAGGGGCGATCAAAGGGTTAACTGTGTGCAGTGAGTGTTTTACTAGGGGGCAGGGTGTGTGTTTCACTGTAATCAAACTGCTCTGGATGGCTGTGCTGTACACAGCCATCCAGAGCAGTGTGTCCGAGCTGACAGGGAGAGCTTTTAGTAAACAAAACAGTCCTCCGCGTCGGTGATCGTTGGAAATCACCGGGCACCGGTGAGTAATTACCGGCCGGGACCCGGTGATTGACAGCCGCAGCCATGAATGGCTGGTGGTGCTGGTAGGGCATGGGGTAGGGCATTCCCCCTACACGTTATATATATATATGTGTGTGTGTGTGGTTTTGCGCACCCGTACCGCCCTGTAGCAGTATTTCTGCTATAGGGCGGTGGGGATGCGGTTTGAAAATTAATCAGGATTCTATGACCAGTGGTGTGATACATTGACCTTCTCACCAAAGCAAGTCCGTTTAATCCACAAAATGGTCATTATGCTGTTATGCATTTACTCGTGTGGGCATTCACATGTATTGTAACCAGATTACATAACTGCTATAGGTGCAGGGGCAGACTGACCATTTGGAAACTCGGGCACTGCCCGAGGGCCCAGGGTCAGTAGGGGGCCCCATGAGATGCCCCTGGTACCTTTTTCATAGGCTATTTTCAGTTTGGGGGCAAGGACACAGGGGCCCCATGAGTTGTCAGTCCGCCCCTGTATAGGTGTAACCTAGTAGGGCATTGTGTTGGTGACGATTGAACATGAAACCCCAGAGCTCAGATGTGTTCTGATTGACTGATATGCTTGTTATATGTTTGTATACACAGAATCCAATCATCACCCAGTTCTTCCCCACTCTGTTACTATGGGCGTTCTCTGCTCTGCTACCAACCATCGTCTATTACTCCGCGTTCTTCGAGGCACACTGGACCAGGTAACCCCTCTGAAGTCATATCTCCTGTTGCTGGGCCTTGGCACCCCATGTATGTAATGTGGCAATTCGCCAGGCTGGGCGGATAATAGTTTACATCAGAAGAACACAAAACCTGACAAAGGACTTGATGTAGCAAAGTGCACGTTACTCCAGAGTTTTATCTATGAGTGAATTTTTCTATGTAGGTGAGTCTAAATGTAGACTCTTCTCTTTTTTTTTTTCCTGTTACAATACTTGTGATCCTTCCAGTCCTTAGTGGAAAAAGGATCCGCACAACTGTAGTTCTTAAAAGTCTTGCATTTATTGAAAGACCACAGTGTAAAAGTTACAAATCCAAAAAGTTGACGCGTTTCAGCCTACAGAACTTACGACTAAAGCCGTGTAGGCTGAAACGCATCAACCTTTTTGTATTTGCAACTTTTACACTGTGGTCTTTCCGTAAATAAAAGAATCTTATTAGCAACTACGGTCACGCGGCTCCTTTTTCCACAAAGTATTGTATACAGATAAACAACTGTGAACCGGGCACCTGCGGTCTCTTTGAAATCAAGATATATGGGTATTAGCACTATTTTTGTATTTTTTTTTTTCTGATCGTGCGAGTCTCCCTTTTTGTCCTTTTGAATTCTGATGACACCAAACAAGGCATATATGTGCTGGGTGTGGTCAGTTTGCTTATCAGTGCTTATCTGTAGGAGCCACAGGACACTGTGCCAATGCACGTGTGCCTGTAACTCCCATAGTCTGTTTAGCTGCCACATTGCCCACCCAGCCCCGCTGATTTGATTGGCACCGGCAGCCAAGGGCTCGTTCACACCTGGTTTACCAACGCTTGCCAAACGCCCCTATAGCGTTTGGCAAGCGTTGGTCCGGCGTTTGCGGAGCGTTTTTTAACGCTCCGCAAACGCCGCATGCGTGGTTTAGCGGCGGTTGCTAGGCATTTGCCGAGCGTTAAAAACGGCCCACAAATGCCTATAATGAAGTTTAAATGGTGTTATCGCTCTGCAAACGCCTTGCAACCGCGTCGCAAATGCCGGCCGGGCGTTTGCGGAGCAGCACCATAGACTAGAATAGGAGGCTTCAACGCCTCCTGACTCGACCACAGGCGTCCATTTTGCCGCGACGCGACGTTAACGCTCCTGTTAGAACAGCACCATGTGCTGCAATGTGCAGAATTGTCAGAGGCGTTTGGGAAGCAGTAAAAACGCTTCCCAAACACCTCTCTGCCACCTGCACACAACGCTAGTGTGAACGTAGCCTAACGCTACAAGCAGGATTCTCGCTGCCAAACTGCAGGGGGTACAGCAGTGGCTTTGGATGAAAATACTGGTAAGAATATGCTTCATAACCTCCTAGATTGTAAGCTCCAAGGAGCAGGGCCCTCCTATCCCTCTTATATTGAACTGTATTGTTACCAGGGGCGGACTGACCATTTGGAACTCGGGCACTGCCGTCAGTAGGGGGCCCCATGAGATGCCCCTGGTACCTTTTTCATAGGCTTTTTTGAGTTTGGGCAAGGACACAGGGGCCCCATGAACCCCTATTGCCCGGGGGCCCCATGAGTTGTCAGTCCGCCCCTGATTGTTCCTGTATTGTCTCCCGTTATATTGTAAAGTGCTGAGCAAACTGTTGGTGCCATAAATCCTGTATAATAATAATAACAAGAAACATATTCAAGCTACAAAGGTGAGCAGGTATGGGGTGGCATAGTGTGTGGTCCTACTGAACAAACAAAATAAACTGAAGGTACTATTGAACAAACTGACTGTCCTCTAAACCCACTGAAGGTTCTACTGAACCTACTAAAGGAAATGAACGTCCTACTGAATGAACTGAACGTTCTGCTGGGCAAACTGAAGGCTCTACTGAACCTGAAAGTCCTACTGAACATACTGAATGAACTGAAGGCCCTTCTAAAATGAAAGGTCCTCCTGATCCTACTGAAAAAACTGAAGGCCCTACTGAAGAAACTGAAGGTCCTACCAAACAAATTGAAGGCCTTACTGAAGCTACTGAACAAACTGAAGGTCCTACCAAACTAACTCAAGGCCCTACTGAACAAACTGAAGGTCCTACCAAACAAATTGAAGGCCTTACTGAAGCTACTGAACAAACTGAAGGTCCTACCAAACTAACTCAAGGCCCTACTGAACAAACTGAAGGTCCTACCAAACTAACTCAAGGCCCTACTGAAGAAACTGAAGTCCATGCCAAACAAACTGAAGGTGCTACTAAACCTACTGAATGAACTGAAGCTCCCGCTGAACAAACTGAAGATGCTACTTGACTTACTGAATTAGCTGACTGTCCTACTAAGCAAACTGAGAGTCATAAAGAACCTACTGAAGAAATTGATAGTCCTCCTGAAACAAAAAAAACTGAAGGCACAGATGAACGTACTGATTAAAGTGAAGGCTCAGCCTTCTGGAACCCATGGCACACAGACTGAGAATGTACTTCCCCACCGTACACACACTCACCTGTCCCTAATATTCAGGGATGCTTAATGTGAACATGTATGTGCCAATGGCAACTTTTTTTTTTTTTATACATTTGTCTAAAGCCAGCCTTTCTTTTTAGTTTTGGATTGAGTGGTTTTTAATTTCAGTGTCCCCACTAGGAGATTCATCCTCTCTATTTGTACCTGTGTCTAAAAGTGAGGGCTAATCCAAAATATGGAGTTGTCAATTGAGGGGAAATGTTCCATTGGAGACACCTGTTCCAGATAGAGCTGTCTGAGAGATGATTCCTCTTACTTTTGAGAGATTTCCTCATAATTTCTGTTATATCTACAGGACGAGAAGTAGAGAGGAATCACCTGTTGGTATAAATAACCTGACCGGTTTTAACCATTCACTGCTGTATCCAAAACGAAAAATAAAGTTTTGGCCTTAGCTATACTTTAAGAAAATAAGATGTTAATGGAAGTGAAGAAAAATGAACCAGTACTGATCAGTAACCACCAATCTGAAACCTGAATTCTCAGACTACAAGTATTATTTATGCAGGGGAAGCCCCTGATGGAAGCTGCCATTTCTCCAGGCAATAATTATTGGATTAAATGTCTGTTGTGCTCTGTGCTGAAACTCCCAGGAGTTAGCATGTCAGCTTCCATCTGAGGCTTTTTACAATTGGCTGTAGAGGTCTCATTCACGCAGACAGAATGGGATCCACTAGAAACACTGGAGTCTCCAATGTCTCATGATTACTGTCTGATTCCAGGTCGGGGGAGAATCGCACCACCATGCACAAGTGCTACACCTTCCTGATCTTCATGGTGCTGCTGCTGCCTTCTCTGGGCCTGAGCAGGTGAGATGAACTGTATGTGTTATACCATGAAATTTGTTCTCGTATTCCCTGCCTGCTCACACACCGTTATTCTCTGTCTTTTAGCCTTGACCTGTTTTTCCGATGGCTCTTTGACAAGAAGTTTCTGGAACAGGCCACGGTCAGGTTTGAGTAAGTACAACTCTCAGACAAATGTGGAAATAATAACCGTGTCATTGTGTTTTGGGTTTTCTGAATGGCAGAAGAATGGAGGTAATGTATGTAGGAATATTAACCACCTCCCATCCGGCCGTTGTATATAAATGGCAGGATGGTGGCAGTGCAGGGGCGGCCTCCCCACCCCCTGCTTGTGCGTGCTCCCTAGGAGTGCGCAGCACCGCGATCCGGACACAGTGGAGCACCGATCGTCGTACGGAACCTCTGTGCGAGGTCCCGATCATGTGATCACTGATTGGCCAATCAGTGATCACATGCAGAGTAGTCAGCAAGATGTCACTTCTGACATCATTGCTTACTGCGTGTGAAATCTGTGAATGATCACAGAGGTCACATGGTACAGGGCTATTCACAACAGCCTTGTACCATGTGACAAGCTGTGACCAATCACAACTCACACAGTAGTTCTCAATTGCTGCAGGAATGTAGCCAGAGAAAAGGAGAAGTGATTGCTTTTACAGCCTTTATGGGTGTAAAAGCAATCAGTGTAAAAAAAAAAAAAAAAAAAAAAATTATCACCCTCAGGGAGTGGGACAGGGCCCAGTATGGAAATAGCAAGGAGAGGGCTCAAAATAATTGTAATCCATCCCCAAGGGGCAAGTTGGAGTCTCTAGCGATTTGTAATCCAAGTATGGAGCAGAGGGGGAACAGAGTTCAAGAACAGCCCAGGGGGAATAAAACAGGGGTGCATACACTCATGGCTCTGGCAGGAATGTCCTGGCTCACGGCAGCAGGGGCGACCCTGCCCAGCACACAGCAACAGCCGGTATTCCGGGCCCCAGAGTATTAGGCAGAGTATCATGGGGCCGTGTCAGCGGTACTCCCAGCCATATTAGAGTATTAGCAGTGTCAGCAGTGCTCCCAGCCCTGGAGTATTAGCAGTGTCAGCGGTGCTCCCAGCCCTGGAGTATTAGCAGTGTCAACGGTGCTCCCAGCCCTGGAGTATTAGCAGAGTGTCAGCGGTACTCCCAGCCCTGGAGTATTAGCAGAGTGTCAGCAGTATTAGCAGTACTCCCAGCCCTGGAGTATTAGCAGAGTGTCAGCAGTACTCCCAGCCCTGGAGTATTAGCAGTGTCAACGGTGCTCTCCCAGCCCTGGAGTATTAGCAGAGTGTCAGCAGTACTCCCAGCCCTGGAGCAGTGTCAGCAGTACTCCCAGCCCTGGAGTATTTAGCAGTGTCAGCAGTACTCATAGCCCTGGAGTATTAGCAGAGTGTCAGCAGTACTCACAGCCCTGGAGTATTAGCAGTGTCAGCGGTAGCAATTCTCTCCCCCCAAGTCCTGGGTGACTGCAGAGGGCAGCTGGCGTATCTCTACCTTCTCCTGGGGATCTACAGAGTGGCGGCTTGCGGAATTCTCCCCCTTCTGTGGGGCTTTGCGGTGGGCAGCTGGCGTGGTCCCCCACCCCTTCCCTGGAGTGTGCAGAGCAGCAGCTTGCGGAGGCTCCCCCTTATCCTGTGGGGTCTATGCAGAGTGGCCACGAGGGTTCCACCTCAGCTGTGATCCACAGAGTGGCTTGGCAACAGAAGAGAATGATCGGGAAGAGCCCGGCATCGGTCTCTTAAACCGATGCAGGACGCTTCCCAGTCGTCCTGGCAATGGTGGGCGGCGGGCCTCATTGCTCGGCAACGACGCACGCCCCTCTGGACACGGGTCGCGCTCTCGTGAGCATGGCTTTTGTCCGGAGGCATCCACAAATGCAGGCACTCCTCGTGCCCGCACTGCGGATGCCGGGACCTTGCAGCGTCAGCCTGACGCCGCGGTCCGAAACATCAATGCAGGAGGTTCGCACCTCCCCGCATAGAGGTGTGAACCTCGCTATATTGTCCACTCCGGCATCGCCGGATGGGGATAAGATAGTGGCAGAGGTGAGAGGAGCCGCGCCTCTCGTCCTGCGCGACTCGGCTTCAAAGAGCCGTGGCAAGATGAAAGACAGCAGGGGGGCAGTCCTGAGTGGGCCAGCGGAGGGGGGAGAGCAACACACTGTGACAATGCTGAATACATAGAAATTTTGGAGTGGGCAGGGCTACCTCATTGTCGTCATTTTCAGGTGTTGTCACACTTCTAGTTGTTGGGAACGTGTATTACTGTCATGCTATTATATTTGTGGAACTTTTTTGGACTCCAGTATTTCTTTCCTTTTGTATCCCACAGATGTGTATTCCTTCCAGACAATGGCGCGTTCTTCGTCAACTATGTTATCGCCTCCGCCTTTATCGGTAATGCCATGGATCTGCTGCGTATCCCCGGTCTGCTGATGTACATGATTCGGCTCTGTCTGGCCCGGTCTGCAGCAGAGCGCAAAAGCGTCAAGCGGGTATGAAAATCGGCTGAATTGGGGTTAAACTTTGTACAGTGGGGAACATAATTATTTGATTCCCTGCAGATTTTGTAAATTTTCCCACTTACAAATAAATGAAAGGTCTAAAATTTTTATCATAGGTGTATTTTAACTGATATAGACAGAATATCGACCAAAAATCCAGAAAAAGAACACAATACAAATGTTATAAATTGAGTTGCAGTTCAGTGAGTAACCATCCAAATCTGATGGTGCCAAAATTGTCGATCTTGGCAGATTTTTGTTAGCTGTCTGTAAGGTACATCCTTCCCATTGACCCCCATGAATTCCTTTTTTCAGGGGTCCCTGAAATCTGAAAATTATTTCAAAGGCTCCTTCTGCATAAGGAGGTTGAGAAAGGCTGCCCTAGGCCACAATACTGTGTAACGTTCTTTGGTTGCTGGTAGCATGGAGCTTCTAATTCTGTAATTCCTCAGGGCCACCCATCGGGTCTCTGCAGAGCATTCTGTAGAAAACCAGTAAGGATTTAGAGGTTTAGGAGGGAGTTAGCAAAACACAGGTCTGCCAGAGCCTGCTGCCCCTTCCAGAGGCAAGATGAAAGCCCTACTTGCTCTGCCTACAAATGATCACAATACCAATTTGCAAACCTCTGGTCCTTGTAAATTACCGTAAATTTTTAATTTTTAGCACAGCTGCAGTGTTTTGCATTATTAGTTCACTGAAAGATTTTATTATTTATTAGCGGGACATGTTCTCCACTGTTGTCCTGCCTGTATGGCACAGATGGTAAATGTTTCTCTTGTTTGTTCTGCAGCATCAGGCCTATGAGTTCCAGTTTGGTGCGGCGTATGCGTGGATGATGTGTATTTTCACAGTGGTGATGACCTACAGCATTACTTGTCCCATTATTGTTCCATTCGGTGAGTGACCTTTTCCCTGAGGCTGTTCTGGACACAGGGCTAGGTTTTGGTTGGGGTTCAGTCAGGGATCAATTTGGGTTGGGACTCTAAAATTGTTAGGACTGGTTTAGGGGTCGAAAGAGGTTTCGTAAGTGATGAAGGAATCACACATCTGACTGTTTTGTGCACAAGACTGGGGTTCAGTTTTGTGAACCATGAAGGGCTCGCAATCTGACTTGCTAACCTGAACCTAAGCATTTTTTTGGTCTGATATAACTCAAGGTTGCCATATATATCCCAATACCACGTTCTTGTGATGCAAAGGTATTTATAGGACTGATTGTTGTGCTTTCAACCATAGTAAACACTTGTTAAAGAAATGTATCACCACAACTTAGTTGTTTTTGAATCCTCCAGGGAACCAAGTACACGAAGCACTTGGTCGTGTTCTAATCCATGGCCCCGTTGTGCAATAAAAGCATATCATCATATCTATGTGTGCTGGCTGTCTGCTCCTCCCTAGGCTGAAGCCCAGTTTATAGGTGTTTCTGTGGGGAATTACAGCAAATCACTGCAGATACCCCCATTCTCCTCCATGTACTAGCTGGCAGTCTGTGTTGTCATATGAGCTGACCCTTCCCCTACTGTGGTTAAATCGGAGCTCAACCCAAAAGGGGAAGGACTGCTGCTCCCCGCTCCCCATTAAGGATTGGCACCCTTGGGGGGCAGCGGGTACCCGAATTTTCCAGTTACCCGCTCCCATTTCCGGTCCGATTGCCTAGGTGATGGGAAACGGAAGGTGCCCTCCCTTTCTGTAGTCTTTTGGGACGCATGACAGGTCCCAGAAGACTACAGGACCATTCATGAAGCGCAGCGCTACTCGCGCATGCGCGGTGGGTACCCGGCTGTGAAGCCGCAAGCTGTCACAGCCGGGTGCCCACACTGAAGATGCCGGCCTGCTGGAATACAGGACGGCCGGTGAAACAGGCTACGGGGGACCACACCACGGGACTGAGGGACAGGTAAGTGACTGTTTTTTAAAAGTCAGCAGCTACAGTTTTTTGTAGCTGCTGACTTTTATTTTTTGACAGGATGAGTGGAACTCCGCTTTAAGGACAGCACTGTAGCCACCTCCCCCTCCCCTCAATTTCTGTTGTGTTCTGAGCCGAATGACGTCTCCCCACCCCTGCTGTAGGGAATTATAACTTTGTTGCCACCACCCCCTCTAGTCCATTTACTAGCTCTCTGCTTGTGTTGTGATCCAAGCTGAGCCTTCTAGGAGGGTCCTCCCTGTCCATGGTGAATGATGGCACTCATCTCCAGTGCATGCCTGCTGTCATAGACAAAGTATTATCACTTTGACCACATTTGATGTCCATCTCTTGCTAAGGAGGGTGGTGAGATAGAGTAGTGGTGGTAGGTGGGGGGGGGGGGGGGGGTGCGCAGTCAACTACTCAAGCTCAGCAACCATGACACAAATTGGAACGCAACCAAGTGCTGCATGGACTTCGTCCCTTGGGAGATTCAAATATGATTTTTACATTGTGGAGGTACTTTTTATTTAATAATACCAAGGATATTTTTGCTCTTTTTTTTTTTTTTTTTTTTTTTATCTCAGAGCAGGAGCGGACTGACAACTCATGGGGCCCCTGTGTCCTTGCCCAAACTCAAAAAAGCCTATGAAAAAGGTACCAGGGGCATCTAATGGGGCCCCTACTGACCCTGGGCCATCGGCCAGTGCCCACGTTTCCAAATGGTCAGTCCGCCCCTGTCTCAGAGTGACCCAGCTGATCTCACCTACTCCATGAGAAATGGGGGGGGGGGGGGGATATAACCAGTGGTATTGCTTTAGCTTTCCCAAAGGAACGCAGTGTGCAATAATAAACCCATAAAGAATGCAACGTATCCCCAGTTAGGGAAGAGGGGGGGGTAATAGTAGGAATGGGGAAGGAAGTGATGGTGGGGGGTGGCAAGAAGGTAGAGGTAAAGGCGGATACTTCAAAGTAATTTTTTCAAACTCTATGAACCTATGAACTGTGATTACCTCCCTCCCCCAATTCTTTGTTCTGATCAATCGCAGGCCTAATGTACATGCTCCTCAAACACCTGGTGGATCGGTACAACCTCTACTACGCCTACCTACCCGCCAAACTGGACAAGAAGATCCACTCGGGGGCGGTGAGCCAGGTGGTGGCGGCTCCAATCCTCTGCCTCTTCTGGTTGCTTTTCTTCTCCACCGTGAGAACCGGTGAGTGCCAGGCATCCTTCATACGTCACCTGGAAATGTGAACTTCTCAAATCTGTTTCTTTTTTTGTTTTAGAGCAACAATTGAGTCCTGTCCGTGATACTTTTTTTTTTTTTTATTTGAACATACAATTTTCAGGACAAGCTTTCGGGGTATGTCCCCTTCTTCAAGGTCCAAGCAGTACTACTTCACAAAGTTTTAGCAGAATGTTTAACCACATCCAGTCCGGACACTTTCCCCCCCTTCCAGTCCGGACACTTTCCCCCCCTTCCTGTCCAGGCCAATTTTCAGCTTTCAGCGCTATCACACTTTGAATGACAATTGCGCGGTCATGCAACACTGTACCCATATGAATTGTTTAGCATTTTTTTGAGACAGATAAAGCTTTATTTTGGTGGTATTTATTCACCGCTGGGATTTTTATTTTTTTTTGCTATATAAATGAAAATGTCCAAAAATTTTGAAAAAAAGTGTTTTTTCTTATAAAATTTTGGAAATAAATATTTCATCATAAATCTTGGCCAAAATTTATTCCGTTATCTTTTTAGTAAAAAATAAAAAACCCAAATTAGTTTATAATCAAAAATTATAATTTTAAAATAAATTTTTTTTTTACATTTTTTTTTTTTTTTTATAATTATTTTATTTTTTTTTTTTTTTTTTTTTTTTTTTAACATACTGTCACCCTAGCAATACAGTGTCATCATGGTGACACTGTACTACTTGTGGGGGTGATGAAGAATATTTTTTTTTTTTTTTTCACACTGATTGCTTTTACACCCATAAAGGCTGTAATAGCAATCATTTCTCCTTCTCTCTGACTGCATTCTTGCAGCTATTGAGAACTACTGTGTGAGCTGTGATTGGTCACAGTTTGTCACATGGTACAAGGCTGTTGTGAATAGCCCTGTACCATGTTATCTCTGTGATCATTCACAGATTTCACACATAGTAAGCAATGATGTCAGAAGTGACATTTTGCTTACTACTCTGCATGTGATCACTGATTGGCTAATCATTGTTCACATGATCGGGACCTCGCACAGAGGTCCCGTACGACGATCGGTGTTCCACTGTGTCCGGAGGACATAGCGGGAACCAGATCGCGGTGCTGCGCGTGCTCCCAGGGAGCGTGCACAAGCAGGGACAGGGAGGCCGTTTATAAACTGTCACCCGCCCCTGCACTGCCACCATCGTCTGGCGTTTATATACATGGGTCGGATGGGAGGTGGTTAACATATACTGGTTGTGGCCAGCTCAGTGGATTGCTGTAGGAAAGTCCTGGTTTCTTTCTCGGATAAACAGAATATAACTGGATATAACATTTATAGGTAAAGTTGATCCCAGGAATATCCTGATTGCCTCTCGGGGGAGAGGTCATGGGCGGCTTTGGCTGTCGATCACCGGGTCCCGGCTAGTGATTGTCCGCCGGCACCCAGCGATCGCCGAGCATCACTGACGGGTGAGATCTGTATGTAAACAATACAGATCTCTCCCCTGTCAGCGCCTAAACACTACTTTGTATTGTTGTGCATAACAAAGCAATACAAAGCAATATGCCTACACTGTAAAACACAGACCGCACACAGAGTAAAACAGCACACAGTTAACCCTTTGATTGCCCCAGATGTTAATCCCTTTCTGCCCAGTGCCATTAGTACAGTGTTGGTGCTTTTTATTAGCACTGATCACTGTACTGATGTCACTGAGGATGTCAGTGACAGTCGTTCCCCCCCCAGTGTCAGAATGCTCGCCGCAGTCCCGCTATAAGTCGCTGATTGCCTGCCATTACTAGTATAAAAAATAAATTCCAGTATATTTACCGCCATTTGTAGACGGTATAACTTTCACGTAAACCAGTTAATTTACACGTATTGGGATTATTTTTTTTTTTTTTTTAGCAAAGACACGGAGCAGAATATATTTTGGGCCTAAATTTATGACTAAATTTGATATTTTTTTTTTTTTTTTTTAGTGGACATGTTTAATAACAAAAAGTCAAAAATATTGTTTTTTTTTTTCAAAATTGTCGTTCTTTTTTTGTTTATAGCGCAAAATATAAACACAGCAGAGGTGATCAAATACCACCGAAAGAAAGCTCTATTTGTGGAAGGAAAAAAGGACATAAATTTTCATTTGGGTTCAGCATTGCATGACCGCGCAATTGTCAGTTAAAGTAACGAAGCGCCGTATCGCAAAAAATGGCCTGGTCAGGAAGGGGGGTAAATCCTCTGGAGGGGGAGGGGTTAAAAAATTAAAGTGGTAGTGAAGTCCTGATTGCACAAACCGCTGACAGGCAGGGCTTTTATAGGATAAAAGATCCTAGAGCAGGGGTGGGCAAATTGTGGCCCTCAAGCTGTTGTGGAACTACAAGTCCCATCATGCCTCTGCAAGTCATGATGCAACTGTCAGCCTTTCAGTGCCTCATGGGACATGTAGTTCCCTGACAGCTGGAGGGCCACAGTTGCCCCCACCACTGCCCTAGAGGTATCTTTCGTTATAAATGCCCCCCCCCCCCCCTGCATGTCAGCGGTAATGTGATCTGAGCACACGCATGTGCAGCTCATGCCACGTTTATGGTCCTCTGTGTGCTGTAACAATGTGACTCCAATACACATGCATAGGAGTGACATCAAGGCGGCCAAAGATACAGAACCTTTCAATGCAGGGCAGCACACATAGGGGTTGATTTACTAAAGGCAAACATATGGTGCACTTTCAAAGAACAGTTGCTCCAGAGCTTAGTAAATGAGCAGAAGCTCTGCTGACGTCCATCATCCAATCACGTGCAAGCAAAAATGCTGTTTTTATATTTTCCTTGCACATGATTGGGTATGCTTTGCAATGTAAAGCTTCACCTCATTTACTAAGCTCTTGAGAGTAACTGCACTTTGCAAAGTTCACAGTCTGTTTGCCTTTAGTAAATCAGCCCCACAGTGCAACTCACTTTCTTCTATTGAAATACATTGCTTTTACAATCTGTATGCACTGGCATTCATTGATTAGCTCATGTCAATGCATGTGGTGTGAATGGACCTTTTATAGTTTTTATTGTTTGAATAGCACTTTTTCCATTTGTCTTGGCCTGCAGGTTTCCTGGCTCCCACCTCCATGTTCACCTTCGTGGTCCTGGTAATCACCATCGTTATCTGCCTGTCCCACGTCTGCTTCGGCCACTTCAAGTACCTGAGTGCCCACAATTACCGGGTGAGCTCATTCTCTGCCCCATATGGTCCTCCATCTGTAAAGTGACTCTATCTTTTAACCCCCCTGGCGGTATTCCCGAGTGTAGCTCGGGGTAAAGTTTCAGCACCACAAGCGGTGACCCCCCCGAGCTACACTCGGGAATACACTGCAGCGTTGCTCCGGGATCATTTCTTCACTTACCTTGTCCTGCGCTCCTGCAATGTCCCCCCTGCAGTGTCCCCGGCAATGTCCTCCGGTCGATGCCGGCACCTGTCTTCCGGGTTCTGTTCCCTGCGACGTCGGGACGTACGGGGGACGGAACTGGCAGGAAATTTGAAAATGACTAAAAGTGACATTCACTAAATACACTAAAATCACATAGTATAACATTCCTGTATCAAACCATTTCACATACATTTTGTCCCGAGTGCTTTGTCCGGCGCCCTGCCTGCATTTTTACTGTTCTTTCTGCCTGGAAACTGAGAAACGTCCATGGCGTCCAAAAAGCGTCCCTTTAGGTCAGACGCGGTTTTTAGACCGGCTAGAGAACAGCGATAGTAAATCAGAACCACTTGCAGAATTGAGTGATAATGATTCGTGGGGGAAATTCCTCATCAGACACTGAAAACGATTCTGCGACTTTGCTCAGCGATGTGCGAACTTGGCGCTATATTTCACATTTCAGTGTTTTTGGTTTGATTATATTATTGAATTACATTTATTATTATTATATTATTTTTTATGATTATTTATTATATTATAATTTATGATTTCGTGTTTCAAAATTGTAACATCCCCGGGATGTTTACTAGACTCTTGTTCGGACAGATTTCAGTGAGTTATTCCTAAAAATTACAGGCCTACAATAAAAAAAAAAATACTTACTTCCATGCAAAAAAAATGTACCACTTTGAGCACAGAAATATGGAACATAATCAGACTGCTAGGGAGGTTAAATAAAAAAGGTGAGACCAAAGCTGTACCTGGAAAGAAGATCGTAAATACTCAGCTCTCCCACTGACCACCAGTCATGCTGAAGTCTATGCAGAAACTGATATTTATTATTATTTCAGGTACTTATATAGCGATGTCACGTTACGCAGCAGCTTTACATATATATATTGTACCTTTCACAATCAGGTCCCTAACCTTCAGGGGGCGTACAATCTAAGGTCCCTAACCCTCAAGGAGCGTACAATCTAAGGTCCCTAAGGTCCCTAACCCTCAAGGGGCGTACAATCTAAGGTCCCTAACTCACATTCATACATACACATACTAGGGACAATTTAGACAGGAGACAATTAACCTACCAGCATGTCTTTGGAGCTTCGAGAGAGTCAGCCTGACCCCAGGACAATCCAATGTATACAGCACGAAAAACCAGCAATTGCTATTCCCAGAGTTGTACGTTTTTGCGCAGACTTTGGCCTCATGCTCACAGGATATTTTAAAAATGCTCCATTTCTTGGCAGCAGCGTTCTGGCAGAAAAAACGCCTGACGCTTGTAAACGTGTCCAATGTTTTTACAAGCGTTTAGGCGCATTTACAGGCATCAAGCACTTGGACGTTAATTCATTTCATTGGCCAGAATAATAATTCATTCTGGCCATTGAAATGAATTGATGTTCAAGTGCTAAACATAACTTATGTGCATCTGGTGAGTGCGCATTTTATACGTTGCTGCATGGATTACAATCACAAGGATTTCTTAATGAGAGGCACTTATGAAGTTTTAAAGTGAAGCACAAATTTGCTGACCTGACCAAGTCAAGCCTGCACTACTTTTTGAACACTTCTTATCTATAAGACTGTTTATTATCACATTTCATTTTGCGCTTCATAAAGCGCTATATCCACCTGGAATTATGTATACAGTATATTATTATACTGTTCATTACTTATTTCTTCATTTATGTAATTTATTGAAGTTATTAAGCTATTTCGCATGTCTAGCGCTGCACTTTTATATTGACAGAATAATTCATTCTGGCCATTGAAATGAATTGACGTTCAACTGCTAAACGTGCCTAGCTTTAACACACATTTAGCCGTGTTTAGACGCATCAAGCGGTTTTTTTTTTCTGCCAAAATGCTGCAGGTCCTGGATGCACTGGTAGTGGGTTTTGGTTTTTCCAGCTCCTGAAAGCCCCTGCCACTAAAAGCTTCTAAGTCTGTGTGTTGGGCAGCACAGTGGCTAAATGGTTAGCACTTCCACCTGGCAGTCGTTGGTTCAAATCCCAAACATGGCACCACGTGCCTGGAGTTTGCATGTTCTCTCCCTGTGCCTGCGTGCATTTCCTCTGGGTATTCCGGTTTCCTCCCACACTCCAAAGACATGCTGGGAGGTTAATTGGCTCCTGTCTAAATTGTCTATAGTATGTGTATGTATGAATGTGAGTTAGGGACCCTAGAGTGTTTATACTTCTTGAGGGTTACGGAATGAGGGGACTGATGTGAATGTACAATAATGTGAGTGTATGTATGTGTATATGTATGTGTGGTGTATAATATATTTTATAGGATATATATGCTATATATATATATATGTATGTATGTGTGTGTGTGCAACCAAATATATATATATATATATATGTGTATGTATGTGTGTGTGTATATATATATATATGCATAAATATATATATATATATATATATATATATATATGTATATATATATATATATATATATATATACACACACACATACACATATATATATATATATATATATACATACACACATTTACATATACATACACACACACACACACACACACATACATATATATATACACACACACACACATACATACAATATATACACACACACACACACACACATACATATATATATATATACTACACACACACACACACACACACACACACACACACACACACCACACACACACACACATACATATATATATATACACACACACACACACACACACACACCACACACACATACATATATATATACACACACACACACACACACACACACACACACATATATATATGTGTGTGTGTGTGTATATATATATATATATATATATATGTGTGTGTGTGTGTGTATATATATATATATATATATATCTATTATATGTGTGTGTGTGTGTGTGTATATATATTGTGTATATATATATATATGTGTAAATGTGTGTGTATGTGTGTGATGTGTGTATGTGTGTGTGTAGCGCTGCGTAAATTGACAGCACTATATAAGTACCTGTAATAAATAAAATAAATGTGTGCATGGAGACAGGATAATATGGAGGGGCGTATAAAAGCTTGACGCCCATAAAAGTGGCTGCAGAAACGCCCCATATGCACGAGGTCTTAAAGTGGAGCTAAAGTGAAAAAAGGCAGCTCTTGTCTCTTGCTATGTCTCTACTGCAATGATACAAGGGTACTTGCCCCTTTACACATGCACAGCTCAGTGCACGTTGTTGGCACACTTTGCTGCTTAAAACACCCACACGCATGCGCAGGAGTTATGTCATTCCCGTTGATAGACCAGCAAGACAGCGGAAGTTTCTGTAGGCCTCTTGGTAGCACCTGGAAGATGTTGGAGCTGTTGAGGGAACTTTTGGATGTTGCATGGATTAAATGGAGGTATATGCGGACTTTCAGCATCTGATTTCTGTTCTGATGAGCAGAGTCCACGGCACAGGCAGTAGGAGAGGTGAATGTAACGATCTTTCCAGATGCAGCTTTTCTTTCTCACTCATTTAAAACTCAACTTCAATCAGAAGCAATAATGCCGTCTATTTATTTAGACAATTTTTACACTCTGCTATCTTCCCCTTATGCCTTCAGTTTGTGTGCGACCGTGTGCTAATTTCCACCTCCCATCACATTTCCTCCTCTTTTATACAGGGGTGTGTTTAGGTTTTGTGCTGCCCTAGGCAACATTAAAATCAGCTCCCCCCCATGGAGAGACCCTGACACCGACCAACACACACCCTCCTCCCCATGAAGAGAGCCTGGCATTGACCAACAACACCCCAGCCCTCTCTCCACCACCCCCACCCAAGAGAGCCTTCCACTACCACTGCCTCCCATACACTGACAACCCCCCCACCCCAGTGAGAGAGAAGACACTTACCTTCACAGTTCCGGACATCCCTGGGATCAAGAGTCAGGCTCTGCATACACCATCAAGCAGCCTGCAGCCTCTCTCAGATCCCACCTGGTCCCCATGCTGTGTGTGTCCCTTCTTTCAGGCGGCGGTGCTGCCCCTTGAAAAATGCCACCCTAGGCAAATGCCTTGTGGTAAATAAGCCCCTGCTTGTGGAGACGTGTTTAACGCCATCGCTCCTTCTGTGGCTATATACAAGCTCCACCTTTCCCAGATGTGACCTACCTCCAGCCATTGATTGGTGGTGTGCAGCTGACTATCTTGGCGTCTGCCAGTAAGCGGGAAACAGTCCCCAGCACCACCCAAATCCATACCCACCCACGTCCATTCATTCCTTTGGAATCATGGGAAATGTGGTTCAGATTTCCCCCTAGAAATCACGGTGGACGTGGTGTGCACACTGTGCCTTGATCCTCCCCCTAGCATTGGACACAGTATGCATTAAACAAAAAGAGATTGGCTTACTTTTTAAAATTCGTAATTTTTCTGGAGAAAGCAATCTTCTGAAAAATTGATCTAACAGCGATTGTATGTGTATGGGGAAAGGAAGGTAAGTGTCCTGAAATGGGCAGGATCCCCAGAGTTCACCTGTAAGCAGCATATTCACTTTAATGACCCTGACAATCCTCTCTATGCTGTACCGCCCTGCTACCTGAGCTGAACACGTCTCTCATCAATCCCTGTTCTCCTCTTTCAGATTGATCACACAGAGGTGAACGCTGTGGATGGAACACAAAATGGCCGCCCGTCATCCAATTCATCTTCTCAGAAGTCGGCGGTAAGTCTTGCGTCTCTCTCTTCTGCACTGGTCTGTTGGTCGCCAATATTGCTGATCACAGCCACTTTCTGGGCAGGAGATGTCTTGTGTGATTAAATAACAGCTCCAGTTTTGTTGAACATGTACAGTGGGTATAGAAAAGAAT